GGTTGGGGTAAGACGCTTCCTTGCAGATGGTGCATCACCATCTGTGCTGGATTCGTCGAGGGGCAGTTTAGTTTTCCTACCACCATCAATAGTGTCCTGAGAACTGACCACATCACCGGCCACCTGGCTGGGATCAGAGTTTTGCTGTTTTAATCTCTGAGCTATTATACTGGGAATACCTTTGATGGGTAGGCTTTCTTTGACAGGTGCTTCTGTCTTGAAAGGTGTTTCTGCCTGGACAGGTGCTTCTGCCTTAGGAGCGGTGTCTGTCTTGATGGAGATTTCAGCTCTGCTCTCTGAATCATTTCTCAGAGATGTTAAGACCTTGGATGGCACGCCTGACCCATTTGTTTCCGACGACGTCGCCTCAACATCAAGGTCTCTTTTACTAAGCAAGACAATGCCATGGTCAGGTGGTGGTTGAGGGGCAGCTCGTTGCTTGGTCGACTCTCGAGACTTTGGACTTGTTTTTGATCTTGTCACAGTTCTTGTGGTCTTGATCTCGATAGTTGTGTGTTGAGTCGACTGAGTTATTGTCTCCTGTTCCTCAGTGACCCTGAGCACTTTTCTTTGAGACAAAACCTTATTATTTGTCACATTTTCCTCTTTCTCGTAGACCTTTTTGGCATCTTTGGGAATGATAATGGTCAGCTGCTCTTCATTCCGCTCATTGCCATGTTTACTTTCTTCATGGTTCTCTCCATCATTAACAGGGCCGTAGTCCTTGAGTCTCTGTGGTTTTTCTCTTCGTGGACTCAGCTTGGATTTGTTGAAAATCATAACTGGCTGTCCATCATCCTTGGCATCTTCCTGCTTGTCTTTAAATGGAGCAACGGGAACCACAGGGCTGGACTTTTTGTAACTGGTGGCGGCCGAGGCAGGGGCTGACAGCGGCACCGGCTTAACTGACGCGCTTGGCTTAGTGACAACGGTTGGCTTGACACTCGCCGTGGTGCGGGGTGTTGGGGTGGGACGAGCGCTGGTTTTATTTTTGGCAGAGCCGAAGTAGCTGCTCCTCTCATAAATAGTCGGCTTGGGATCATTGAGAGATGCTGGAGGGTCAGAAGTAAGGCTGCTGATGCTGCTGGGAGTGGCAACTCCGACCACGATGTTAGAAGACACTGATGCTGTAGGTTTCTCATCTTCTTGTCTGCTGGTGAGTGAGGATGAATCAGAGGATCTCCTGCTATGCTCCACAGATTTAGAGCCCGCGGGTAGCAAAACAGGTTTAGCATGTGCTTCTGGGCTATAAATCCTAGGGGAAGTAACGGGAGAAGGACTGTGTATGCTAGCCCGAATAGGAACACCATCTAAGACAGTTGCAGAAGGGGAAGTAAGCCCCCCTGTTTCTGATTGTGAATGAAAAAAGGCAGGAACTGTCGTTGATAATGGAGAAATACTAGAAGACTCTGGACGTCGTCGTCTTAGCAGCAAGTCATTTGATGTGTTCGATGTTGGTGCATTTTCAAAAAGATTGCGCACTGTCAAAACAGTGTTGGGCTTTGGAAGCTCATCTGGTGTTAAGTTTTCGTGGTGATGCACCGGCAGTGAGATACCATTATTATCACATTCATTCTCACCATTGCTCAATTCTTTGGCGGTAGGTATGGGTGGCGTCTTTTCAATAATTATAATATCGTCTCTTGCTAGCTCAACATCGGGAGCCTCTATATGCGAGTCCCTTGATGGTTTAGGTTTATTCCACTTTGTATCCACATGACGTAATGACACTGGCAGATTATGACTAGCGTGCTGGTGACTGGACCTTCTGTGGGCATAATTCAAGCCATCAACACTCCTTGCTTTATGAGCTTGAGAAAGTCTGGCTGATGAGAGATTTGATGGTTTCTCTACCAATAAAGAACCAGCTTCGTTGTGACTGGGTTCTTTGAAGGTCACAGATTTCTGTGTTGTAGCAGCAGTTTCAGCCGGTAATTCATCCAAACTTGACGATCGTTTCAAATGTGACAATCCAACCGGGGCTTCTTTGGCAGTCAGAGATGTAAATTTGTCAAGGAGCCGAGTGACAAACCCGGAACCAGGTCGATACTCAATGACGTCATTATCCTCCTCAAGAAAACGGCCATTTAACTGTCTTTCTCTGTCTTGTCTGTCAGATGATTCTGACCTGTGACTATTACGAGGATGTACATTATGCTTAATTCCAAGCTGCTTGTAAAAAGGGTTCTCGTGCACTGATTTAATTTTTTCTAAAGTTGCCCTATTTATGTTGTTTGATGTTTGGACATCCCCATTTTGTTGTGAATAAGATGACAAATCTTTAGAGAAAATTTCATCGACGGTACTCATGATGATAATGCAGCCAAAGTTCAACTTTCAGTTTAATGAATCCTCTTTGAGGCACTGTAAGAATAATTAATGTTTAATTAATTTACTTTTCAACACAGATATTAAGAATTGACCTCAGAGTACAAACCAATCAATACATCATAAAAACCTGCATGTTTAGAATTTTTTGTTTACTTCTTTGTTTATCTAATAAGTAAATTATCACTTTGTTGTGACTGTTAATACATAATTTAAAATAAAACATTGAAACTACTAGCTGAAACACACTTCATAAAACATTTCAAAATTCAGAAAGTGCATTGAATTGATTCTTTTTTAAAGATGGGAACTTCAAAATTTTTTTAAAGAAATTACACTTGGTACTAGTTTGTTTTAATTTTTAGGTCATGATGGATTATTTAATAAATAGAATTAACACAGGAGTATTTATTGAAATATTAGCCAACTTAAGATTTAAATGTAAACTCTTTTTTTATGGTAATTAAAATCACTCTGCCCATAAAAAAAACAACAATTTAGGTGCCACCATGTATGTATGCTATTTTTGGAAAATCCCCCCCCCCCCCAAACAATAACAAATCTCAGTGACCCCCCTCCCCCAAGAATGTCACAATTCGGAACTAATAAATGTAAACTCTTTTTTTAAGGTAATTAAAATCACTCTGCCCATAAAAAAAACAACAATTTAGGTGCCACCATGTATGTATGCTATTTTTGGAAAATCCCCCCCCCCCAAACAATAACAAATCTCAGTGACCCCCCTCCCCCAAGAATGTCACAATTCGGAACTAAAAAATTGTTTAAAAATTATAAACTAATTAAAATTTAATCTAAAACACACCTCACTATTTAATTTTTCAAAGCGACATCTTCTGTCAGAATACAACTATTTCAATGGAAAGTTGAACATTGCTGTCAATATGAGGTTTAATATGCCTGATAAAAAATTGTTTAATGTGTGACTTCACATAAGATCTTTAGCCCCTAACACACCATGTCACTCTTTCTTAGGAGCCCCCCTCCCCGTGTGACATACTTACTGGACGGTCTCTTGGGTGATATGGAGGCCTTATTTATAAATTCACATGTTCTCTATATAGCCCATCCCAGGGACATATTTGAAATTTTGAATGTGATAAATTAAGATTGAATTCTGTATTTTAAAATCTTTCAATGACATCGCTACTAACAATTTATTAATTTCTTACACCATCATGTGGAAATACTTATTCCCATTTCAATTTCTGGCCTAAGAATGTGAACAATAATCTTAATAATATTTATTCTCTAAAATAAAGTTGACATAAACAGTGATAAACTACTATTAAAATATGCTTATTATACTGTCCACTAGGCCTAATGAAACTAGGCCTAATGACTTAAAATAACACTATTAACAAGTACTACTGTAGTACTACTACTACTATCTTACACTATTTCACAACTTTTCCTACAAACATGAACAAGTTATGAAAAAGCTTATTTTAAAAAAAAAGACTTAAGCGTCTTAAGAAGCATAGGCCTATGCATAATATAGCTTATAAATTTAGGGCAGTTAGACCTAAATTAATGCAATAGTCAATTGTAACAGAATAGGCATAGAGTATCAAGGCCTATTGTATAGTCATAGTCAGTGTAGCCTGGGGCTAACTAATGAAGTTTAATCATAATTAATCCTGTTGCTGTACTAGACTATTTTATTGTTGATTGGCAAACTAGGCCCATAAATCATTTATTTACAATTACATAGGCATCGGTACCTGCATACTACAACATAACTCAGAGTACCATAGTACTCAGTACAGTCTTCAATATCTGCATTGCTGCATAGCTTTTTTTTAAGTTTTAGGAATTTAAATTAAATACTAACTAACTATCTAGGATGTCAAGTTATAGTCACTATAGTACCCTGGCTTCTCTTGATAAAATTTAGTATTAAAATTCATAGGTCTATTCAACCATCAGTGAGAAAGTATCAATATTGAATAATCAATAATCAGTAGAATCTAATTGAAATTGAATTCCGTTGTTGTTTGATGAAATTTGGTAAATTCTATTTCTAAATCTTGGGCAGGCACACACATCACACAGTCACAGGCTCACTTAAATTTTTACTACTTTAAACTTTCTTGAAACACAACTTACAACTACAAGTTGAAACAGATAGTGAGCCATCCAATCAATAAAGTGATATGTATTTAAACCCCATCAAGTATCATGTGTGATTTAATGACAGTAACCCTCTGTCATGTCAGGCATCCCCAGGCACACCTATCTCCAGGAATGAGTCCCCGGTATCGCCTCCCACTTCTGTTATGAGTAAAGAGTTGACAGTCAACTAAACGTCATAGAAACCCGGAAGTCGACACATGTATTACCTCATTGGCCAGTGATAGAGCTGGTGTTATCAAAGACCAGAGCTTACATTCATGAACTATTATTTTTTATCTACAAAACTACATAGCACTTCCATGATATAACTTCTTCGAAAAATTATGCAAAGAAACTAGTAATCATAAGTGAACTAAAACTTTTTAATTTCATTATTGCAATATATTATTCAGACCTGAATATTTTATAATTGATAGACGTAGGCCAACCATCCCATTGATGATTGTCCCCCTTGCCTTATAAAATTATCTAAAGGAATGTCGGATGATCCAACAACAGATACATTTCATCTAAATCAGGGTTAAGTCTTATTTTCAACTACAAAAATTGGATTAAATATTTTAAAATTATTTAATAGAATTTGAATGATATCCTATATATTTCTTCCGTACATTTGATATTTTCAATACAATTATTTATGCGAAACTACCAATACGGAAACAAACCCTTAGAGTTTTGTATCCCTGGGCAACGGTGGATGGCGACTAACGTTTTGGTGCTCTAGACAGGAAGGGTCAGTGGCCGCTTTGTCTTTGTTTATGAGCTTCATTTTACTCTTGATAATTAGGTTTTATAAAAACGAAAAATGGCTGTAGCTGTCAAATCTCCAGCTACCATCGGCCCTGAATCATGGAAAAACAGATCTCTCAGAGGAATGAAGTTGGCACAATCTGTTATTGCAAACAGCGACAGAAATTGTGATATCGGACGGTCGACGGATACCTTGCCTCACATAAGGGATGTGCTTGCGACTCTGAGTAATGATGAAATTCGAAAATATATGAGAGAGGTTCGGGTAATTGTAGCTAAGCTTAGAGAAAGTCTACTAGAAACAAATGAAGAAATCAAAGCTTTGACCAGGGGTAAAGAGGCTTTAGAGAGGACCATAGAACATACTCGAAAAGACTTGCAACTTAACAGAGATTCCAAGTTTATTCGAGTCACTAGACCCCCAGTTGAAAAGGTAATTTTCATTATTATAATTGCATGAATTATGAATTTAGTTAGTGCCTACCAGAAACTATCCAAATAAATTTGAATCCTAGTTTTGGTTGGGTAACCACACATTAGCAATGCAAATATACTGTAGACTAATGTTCAATATTAGATTCCCTATTAATTAAAATTGATGCACAATTTGGATTTTAAAATACTCAGCCAAATTTACTGGGTAAAATTTTTCTCTATTATCAAATTATTATTTTTTTTATTTTTAAGAGGTAAAAATATTCAAAATTCCAAATCATTTATAATTGCCAATGAACAATAACTATTTTTTAAAACTTGTTAAAATAATAGTTATAACATAATGGTGATATGGGCAAATTAAATTACAGGCATAATTTGCGCTAACATAAAAATTAAGTTCCAGTTGATATCTTTATAAGTCAAACAGTGATGTAAATCCAAGGAGTCTCTTTACTTGATTGAAATTTGTAAATGTGCTAAATCCATGCAATGTGAGGTATTTTATTTGTGTTCAGTGTAACTTATTCTTCCTTACCTCTTGCATCACTAAGGAGCGTGATGGTGCTGATGATCTCTTAGAAGCTGAGCACACCCATCTGATGAATTGTAAAAGAACTTTAGAACTTCAGTTAAAATCGGTACAGCAACATCTGCAGGTTATAATACATTTTTTTGTTTTTTTGTTTTGTTTAAATGTTTAAAGTAAAGGATAGATTTTTATGAAATGAAATTACTTGAAGCATTTATTTTAGTTCATGTTGCTTTGATTATTAAAAGTTTATTCATAATCATTTGTATTTTGATAAGTTATTCTTAACTAAAAATTTATTTTAGTGCCTAGAGAGCATCAGAAAAAGAACATTTGCCAGTTTGCAAGAGCGTTCCAGAGTATTAGATATACTCTGCCACTCTTTGGCAGCTGTGTTACGTCCAGAGCGAGATATTCTTATACTGAAACCAAACCGTAGCCAGGTGGAAGGAAGAAATTCCATGGTTGATCCAAGCAAGTAAGTCCATACATCAAATATAAACATAACTTCTTAATTTCATTGCAAATCTGTATAACTGTTTGGGAGAATTTCATATAATTTCCAATATTTATTGCTGAACAGATCTAGATGTTTCTGTAAGTTTAATTCTGCAAACTGGGAATTGATGCAGCTTAATTGTTTAGTTGATATACTGTATAGGGCAGGCCTAAGCAATTTTGGCACTCAAGGCAATTCTAATTTTTAATGTCCCTACTAACTTCTAAAAATTTTCATTTTGACATTAACTTGAGATTAACTGTTGATATGTGCTTGTTGGACAAGACTGCAGTCTTATTCTATCAACTAAGTATAAGCAATCAAACTTAATTATTATTTAGATTTTATATTATAGAAACTTAAAAGCTAATCTGAAATTAAAATGACTTTTATTGAAAAGGTGTAAATCTTACAAGAAAAAAATGTGGTACCTGTACCCTTGGGTACATGCGGCAGACTGCTTGGGGGTACTCAAAAATATATATTTATAATGGCGGAAAGCGACAGAAAAGGGTTTTTACACCTGTTCCTTTACGAAGAACTGCATTTCAATATGGAAAAGTATGGGGGGGGGGGGGAGAGATCAAAAATGAAAAGCATAATAAAGGGTTGGGGGAAAAAAAAAAAGTTGGGCACTGCCTGCTGACCAGTGACTGGTAACATCATTTTCAGTAGTCAGCAGAGCTAAAGATGTGAGCATTTTTTGAGTTACAAATGCTTTCAATATGTTTTAATCAAATTTAATTTGAAAAGTTTCTTTCTGCAGTTACAATGCTAACTAGAATCATCAACAAAATTCGAAGAGAAATTACTATGTTTGGAAACATCTGTAAAATATGACAATATAAAGTATCTCTTCACATAATTTAAATCCATTAATGTCTGAAGTATTACAATTTGCAAGCAACAGTTCCATAAGAGATTATAATCCTTTAATATCATATAAAAATGATTGCCATGTTGTTTCATTTTATCAAAACGTTCTCTCAAAGAATTTAAACAGTTTCAAGTATAACATTTAAAAATTTCAAAATGGTTACAGGTTTCAGGATCTTCAATTGGTTCATAATTAGATTCATAATCAAACTATCTTTTCTTGAAATTAACTTTGTTGGTTGAAAAACTGGTTTAACATCAATAGTTTCTGCAAGTTCCTTTGGTACAATCTCAAAATTTTCTAAATCCACATTAACAATATGGACCTCACATAAAAGCATTTAAAAAAAAAAATTGAAAACTATTGAAGCTGCAAACAATATCTGTAAAAAAGAAAAAGCTCACTTAAACATGGAGCTGTCCTAAATATTAATTACCTTTTATTATTTTTTAAAATCTCTTCCCTTTGTCTTCTAAAAATTCAGCATTCACCTTAATTTATTTTCAATAACAGCAGCTAATGTTTTCAAACAGTTACAAAATGTTTAACCTATTTGGTTTTATATGTCCCATTAATTTATTAAATAGCTGTTATACCCTATTCCATTGGTTGTAAAAAGTCGATAAATATTATAATGGACTTCATTTATTTAACTTTTGGAACGCGGGCAGTTTCTTGCTTTGCTTGTACCAGAAACTGGGACAAAATGCAACAATAATTTAAACAATAATAGTGCTTTAAATATGAATATTTAAAAATAAACATTTATATCAAATCTGTTCATGTCCCATTAGTTGATTTGTGTTTAACTTTGCAGGATGGAATCAGATAAAATTGACGCTCTTGGTCCTTACACACCTGAAGTTGACCATCTATTGGGAGATGCAACTGATGCTCGTAATCAATCAGCATATCTACGCCGTGAATTGAGGTGTACAATTGATCGCGTGGATAAGCTCAAACAAGCTGCCCACAAGTCTGTCAATGAAGGACTAACACAGAAAGTTGCTGAAACAATTACCCTAAAAGTTAGTTTCTTCTTTAAATACTTTTTAAATATTCCTGTTTTTTCTTTCATTTTGTTGGCAGACGACATTAACCAACCAAAAGTTTTACATTTTTAAAATTGAATGTGAACAAAGAATCTATTTAGTAAGTTAGCTTGTATGTTCTGTATTCTAACTGCAGCAACATCTAAATCTTGGTGTGGGAGAAAATCGACATGCTTTGCACAGAGCCCAACGTTGGTATGATGCTACAGAAAAAGCTTTTGGATATACACAGGTACTTAGGCATCATTTAATTAATGAACAATGAAATGTTAAAATGTTATGGAAGGACGTCTCAGGCGGTTCTAATTACAAAAGAGTATGCACTATGAAATTTTATAGTACTAGAAATCTGTAGCAGTTCTAATTACTTGTACCCGGTACACTAAACATTAATTATTGTTAGGCATTTGCAGGAGAAGTCAACTCTAACACCTTTAGACTAAAGGAAAGGGAAGCCACTTTGGATATAATCAATAGGATTCTACCTACATACCAAATAATTGTCAACTTATCTCTCAAACGACATGAAGTACATCAACAAGTGCCTGTTTTGTGTGTTATGTATGAAGACTAAACTTACATGAATGAAAAATCTATACTTATTATATATTTTCTAAAGGGTCCTGTTCAGTACTCAGACCTTAAAACTAGCGAGCACCTGGATCGCCCACTTGTTCGTCTCTATCAAAGGCATCCTGGTACACAGCTGCCAGAAGCACAAGAAAATATTAAGGTAAAAAAAATATTTTTTCCCCCTAAATATTCCAATATTCAACTAAAAGATGGCCTACTTTTGATCTAATATTACGATGTATGCTTTAGTATTTAAAAAGATTTTCTCATTGTTTATTAAAAATCTTTGACCAGAAAAATTTACTTACATACATTTAAATTACATTGGCATTATCAAAGAAAAGCATACACAAATTTTTAAATGTATTTCTATCCAGTCTGGGGTTGGTCTCATCCAATCTTTAACAGCAACCAGCCGAAACATTGGCATGCTAAGAATTGCTGAGAGGAAACTCAAAGATGACAAGCGTAGCAAGAGTGCTGCTGCTGACATTGACAGCAGCGTCATTCGCATGAGGCGCAGCAAAAATGATCGCCGTTGGTGTCTTGGAACAGCCTTCTAATTCTCAGCTTGGACTTTTAAATGATATTAAATGCAAATTACTAAATCATATCTGGATCATGCAACACCTGTTTGTCATGAAGCAAGCTATATTTTTATCCTCCATTTCTTGGAGTTTATTTTACACTGAATCAAATAGTGATATGATTTGATCACCAAGTACCTTTTGAATGTATTGTACACACTAAAAGCCTCTAGGCAAAGCTGTGCTTTGACATGTTGTAGTTGTATGTACCTGGTTCTCAACTTTTTTTGTTTTTTTTGTTGTAAAGTATGTGCCAGGTTCTCAACTATTTTTGTTTTATATGTTGTATGTGCCAGGTTCTCAACTATTTTTGTTTTATATGTTGTATGCGCCAGGTTGTCAACTTTGTTTTATATATTGTATGTGTCAGGTACTTAACTATTCTGTTTTATATTAGGTTGTCAAGCCAAGGTGACTAAGGAAATAATTGTTGGATTGTGTAATGAATCATCTATTTGATTTTGTCTTGGTTTATCCAATGTTTCTTATGTATCTGAACAGGCTTTATAATACAGTATCATTTTTATATTTTTTAAAACACTTTTAGAAATAAACTTATTTGACATAGCCTCCTTTACTTTTAGTATTGTCTTTCTATAATTATTTTTTATTATCTGCTGATGTTAGATTTGATTATTTATTACATTTGTTCACATTAACTCTTGTATATAGTTATTCTGTCTCGATAGTTTTTAGAATTTCGTATCTTAAATAACTTTAAATATAATCGGAGGAATTAAGAAGATACTGTATTTATTTAAGAAGTTACAGAGTTGTTTTTGTTTAAACTGTTCTTTTCTTCAACTACTGTCTCTATTTTAAACAGACCAGTATTTCATTGGTTACCACAGCATTAACTGTATGATATTTTACTATACCATTATCTGTCTGCTTTTGCAGCTATGACCTGATAACTCAAGTACTTCTTTAATAGTAGCCCCCTCCCCATAAAAACATCCTCCTCTCCCCACCCTAAATGAAGTATCAATATAAAAAACACAGACATGTAATTACATAAAATTTTGAAAATCAGTCTCAAAATTGTACTTGAAATAATTAATTACAGCTAAATGCTCTGACTGATAACATGAAATCATTTACATTGCAGACTTTTAACTGCAAAATTGACATTTCTTTTTATTTGTTAATTACGATGAAATATCTGTGATAATAAATACTTGTATAAAATATATTATGTATTTCAAAGACATTGCAAGCACTTAACCTACCTGGCACTTTCACTTACTTACAGTTCAATTATGTTGAGTTTGGTCACAATTTTCTTTGCTAGTGATTCTAATAACTGTGATATTGGTTTTTATAGTTTTTTAAAGTAAATTATTATTTTTTTTCAGAGTCCTAGATTACCGTAAACATTTAATCATCCATATATTTGCACTTGTTCATTTATTGGATACAATTTGTCTGGGGTTGCCATTTTAAAATTTTTTTTTTTTAAATCCCAAAAGAGTTCCACAACAATTTTAAAGATAGAGTTAAAAATGTACAAGAAAAAAGAAAAAAAAGATGTTTAAAATAAACACAAAAAAAGTTTAAAAATATCCCCCCCCCCCCCCCCCAAAACTTCCTGGAAAAGCATAAGATCTGGCAACCCTAAGTTTAACATGTTTGTATTGTATTAAGTATATTATTTATATGTCAATGAATGATTTTTCTAAATGTACAGAAGGGCGTAACAAAATTTGATGTCAACGTACAAAGCAAAATTTACAAGGGTTAGTGAAACAGTTAGATTTCACTCTAAAGTAATTCAAAATAATATATCTAAATATTTGGCAGATTATTTTAAATCAATGAAATCTTTAAAAATTCTTTTGTCATTTTTTAAAAGGGTTTTAACATGGTCATTTGCTGAGGTTCATTTATTTATACACAAAATCGTAGGATTAATAACTTACAGCAGACTTTTATTTAACAAAGTAGTTTTATTTTACAATTCAAGCTATCAAATGTCTCAATATAATAAATTATCACATAAAATATCTGTAAAACTGTTTTTAAAATCTAAAATTCATTGTGTGTTAAATGTACCTTTAACTTAGATTTCCTATATGTTTCTTTGAAAAATAATAAGATGTCAATAAGGAGACAGCAAAAGCATTGTAAATATATAAAGAAAGAGGCTTTTCAATAAATTTCACATTGCAGTATTACCTTAAAGATCTATTTACCTATTTCTAACTCAGTGTTCAATTTCAATATGATTGTCCTATATACATTAATTAAAATTACTCTAATTTTTTTTTATGTTTCATAAAAAATTATCTGTCATAGTTAAAAAGTGTCTGTGTATAGTGATAATCTCGGCATGTGAAACAAAACATATATTTAAAATTAGCCTTTCAATGGCAAGTATAAAGTACTTAAATGGGGCCCCAGACAGCTCAGAAACAGCCAATGACTAAGTTTAAGGAGAATTCATTCTATAACTATAAATCTCTAAAATTCATCTGTACTGCAATTTGGCTCTTCAATATTTATAATATTTAAATTTTTATTTTAAACCACTTCTTGTTAAGGTCATCAAATTACATTGTCAAGACACACAAAAAATAATATCCTATGATATGACACAACTATGTTGTCCTAATGCTTAAGCTACTAAATGACAGTTGGAGATTTAAAAAAAAAGGGGGATGGTAGTGTAAGACAGGAAATTCTGAATTTTGAAGGGAAACTTATTTCAAGTTTTCAAAGGTTATAATTCAATATTTTTAAATTCATTTAAATAGAAATATTTCTTATTTAGCTTTACAAGAATAAGACAAGGCAGGCACAATAAAATGTGATGTTTTTCCCCAGAGCTAAAAGCACATTCAATTTCAATACAAAAAATAAAACTATTTTTTCCTCATTTTGTTTTAAATCCACACAAGTATGCATTTTTTCTGGAAGAAATTTAAGTCATGTAGTTCAATCAATAAAAATAATTATAATCCTACAAAAATTGAATATCCTGGTTTTATGTGTTTCAGTGTTTGATTATAACGAGACTGCCAATGAAATCATGCTTTAGCATTGTGGTATCAAGACAATCCTAGTTTTGTAAAAGATCACCTCCCACTTGCCATGAATGGTTTCTCTTCAATTACTGATGTTGATATTCTGTCACCTAGTACCTGGAAGTGGAAGGCATCACAGGAAGGTGCATTTTGTGATCTACATATGGTTGGAGATACATCAGTTTTTCCTCCTTGGGTCTCTAAAACATTGTTTCTAAAATCAGCTTGCTGGGAATGTTGTAGCTGTGGTTTGAAATCAGTTTTCTTTCACTTAGATGTGTGACCTTCCAAGAATAAAGAGTCCCATTTATCTGGAGTGCAGGTGTTGCTTCATTTCTCTGGTTATCTCAGGGGTTTCAACTCCAGCCCATTAGTTTATGTCATCTAATTCTAAAGATGTTGATTCCCTTGAACACACAGCTGCCAGGTCAAATGTTTTAATTTTTTAAATATCAATGGCTGCTATCTTTTTACAATAATTTTTCTTGACATCCTCTGAAATGCCTTCTTGAACCCTGGGGCAGCCAGTAGCAAGAGTAACAGGTTGGGAATCCCAACTTTAAAGAAAGTAATAACCATCAAGTTCACAAAATCTGATCCCAGTATGGGTACTTAGATCTGAGACATCCTATTGTTGCATGTGGGTATTCATCTCAGTGACTTTAAATTGTGACAAGTATTGAAAAAACAAAACAAATTATAAGCCATTTAAGAGTAAAACCAACACTTTTGAAATTGAATCAAAACCTCCACATGTATGTTCCTGTATTCATGTGTATGTTCCTGTACCTGTCTTTCAAACTTAAAACAATACAACAACAAAATTCCAGAATACATCTTTAAATGGTCTTCCTTTGAATTTTCTCTTTAATTGGTTCTGATAATTTTGAATAAAGGTAAGTTAAATGAAAAACTACCAGTTATCAAATATATTATATATTGACAGTTTATGTGGTCCGCATGGTGAGAGGGGTACCCGGATACAGGATGTCTGATACCATTACCACACAATACCAAGGTTATTATTATCATACACCAAGTGTAACTGAAACAAATCAAACAATAAAATGGCAACAACTATCAGAATTTGTTCAAGATACAGCTAAAGAAAAAAACTATAAAATACTTCAAGGAAATATACAACAAAGAAATCAAATGTTCCCATTTACATCATTACAAAATAAGAAATTAAAATTTTAATAGTAAAATTTCAATGGCGGATACACAAATCTTTCACATAAAGTGATGACGACACATGCCTTACTACTATTACTACCGGTACTGGCATCATAACAGATTTTCTACTGCCTCCCCCACTGCATTAGGGATGCAGTGGTACCAAAACTTCTACTTACAAAAAAAAATATATTCTTAAGAGCTAACTTTTAAAAAAATCCCATGATCTAGTTTTCAGCTACAATTTTTAAAGAGAAAGAGAACTGATTCAAGAGTTTTATAACCCCCCTCTACCCTGATCTTTATTTCACGTACATTGCATTTATAAATAAAACTAAACCAAATTTCAAAATTTCCACAGAAAAGAGATGCATTCAACTTGTATGAATTGGATGTAAATAAGCAGAACAGGGTGCTTGTTAATAAGATCTGTTCATTCCCAACCGATTGACAATATTCAGACCAAATCATTGTATGTATTAGATTAAATATATTTTCTTTATCAATGTGTTAACTACCATAGCTACAATGAAATATTTCATTACAAAATTACCAGACAACTTGCTTGTATCAACGTTCAACTCTAACGAGCAACTAAAAAAAACATGAGGGTCATTCTGCTCATAACTTGGCTCATTTAATTTTGTATATACTTTTATACTTTCAGTTTAGCGTTAGGAGGATTTTTGAGTTGTGCATTAATCAATTTTTATTTTGTTTTCATGTTGAGAAACAAAATAATATGGTGACAATGAAGAAAACCTACCTGAAGAGCAGGCCTTTAGATTACTCTTGTTTCAAGAAAACTTTTTAGGTAGTCATTGATAGCTGATTGTTCTAATTCTAGTTATTGAATGCTTAAACTATATCTTTTGTTATTAATGTTAGTGATTGTTGCTCAAGGGCAATTTTTCATCCATTACCTAACTTGTCTCTAGTTTTATGACTCCAGACAGAAGCTTAGTTTCAATTCTAGGCATTTGAATGTTCAACTTCTAATCGTAAAACTGATTGATTTTAATAAGCTTTTCTGTTTTGACTCATGATGGAAAAATCCCAAGAATATCAACACCACACACAACAAATGGCTCTGATAAGAAATGAAAACATAACCGTTCAAAATTGCACTGATCCAAATTCTTCATGTATGTTACATATTACATATGTGTGTAATATATATATATACAAGTCACCAGTGATCATTTATTTTTCTCAATCACAACTTTTTTTTTTTTAAGTTTTTTTTTTTTTAAATATTATAAACAGTATTGTTATGTGCATCTCAAAAGCTTCCATTTAAGATAAATGACAAATCCTTTAAAGGTACAAAATAACATTGGACAACAAAAAATACAAAGCTTTCCTCCCCAAGTTTAAAGTGTAATATATATATATACAAGTCACCAGTGATCATTTATTTTTCTCAATCACAACTTTTTTTTTTTTAAGTTTTTTTTTTTTAAAATATTATAAACAGTACTGGTATGTGCATCTCAAAAGCTTCCATTGAAGATAAATGACAAATCCTTTAAAGGTACAAAATAACATTGGACAACAAAACATACAGAGCTTTCCTCCCCAAGTTTAACACTATTAAAAAATCAAAGAGTTATACTAACAGACCCTGTTGCCAAGCAACATTTGAAATAAAGTTAAAACAGTCACAAGAAAATTGCAATACAAGACAATGTCAATTTTTTGTCAACACAAATGATCTGATCAAATGGTCCATGAATCTCATGTAAGCCAAGGAGAAACAAATACACAAGACATTGGCTCTCCCAGTGGAAACAAAACAATTAAATAAATTCATCAATTCAATTGATTGAAATTTAAAAAAAACATATCTTTAGTCAGCTTGGTTCAATTGACAGTCTCAGCATACCAAGATCTTTCAGCTTTGTCTATTCACAGTCTCAATATACCAAGATCTTTAGGGTCAGCTTGGTTCTATCTTCTGTCTCAACATACCAAAGACTTACCAGCTAACCTGTCACTGATACAACCAGGCCCAGTTCTACCGAGGTCTATGCTGCAGGTAGACCAACACACAATTGCAAAAAGTGTTTGTTTAAAAAAAAATAATTTTTCTAAAGTGAAACATTTAGGAATGAAATAAGAGCGAGATAACACTATAATTGTTACTGCACAAAACATGTTCTAGTGTGCCGGTTGATGGGACAAGCAGTTGGGAAATAGACTTATTAAAACAAAAAAACTTCAGTTGCAGTGATTCAAGAAAAATGACTTTTAATTATATGATACGGGAATGTAACATTACAAATTTGTGTTAAAATTTCTGTGGTTCCAATCTGTTTCTTTTAAAACTCATCTTTTTTCAAATGATCAAGTCTTTGTGTCACTGTCATGTACAGGCACTTCCCACCTCTGATAATAATTGACACATTAAAGCTATCTAAAAGTGATAGGAAAAACATTGCATTCAATGTTTTTTCCCCTTAACAGAATTAAACGCAATACTTTACTACTGCCCCACTATAAGTCAATGATAATAAACCACTCCAGGCTTCATTTTTTTTTAGTAGACTTGGATAATGTACATTTATTTTTCTCTCTTCTTCATATACATGTGACAGCTAGGGGCAGGCAATGAACATTTTTTGTACAGCCATTTCTATAATGGATGATTGATGTCATGAAAATGTAAACATGCATTCAAATGTCAACTTGTACACCAGACTATTACAACCCCATAATAGCTTACTAATGCTAGGTCAATTTTGGACAGACTGAAAAATTATGTATTGTGTTGTAATGCTTAAAGCATTTTAATTTTTGTATGTGTAAGTTTACATAGGTAAGTTAGAAATAATTGAACAAGGAGTCATTGGTTTAGTGAAGATGTAGGGATAAAAGACAGTACATCAGCTTTAAACACTCTTCAAGCACACCAACAGCAATGCAACAATAATTATTGTAATAATAAATATGTTTTGTTTGAAATTCAATCCTTCACTGAATCAAAATTTGTCAAAGCACAGCCACTTAAACATAAAGTAGTATACATTGGTCTTTCACACCACAACTTACATTGACAGCATTCCATACTAGATACAATGACAGTAAAAACCACTTCCAAGCAACCATGATGATGAGATGTGGGGGGAACAAAGGACAATCACAACTGTGATAAGTGGTGGTGGTGGATGTGGATGATGGGTAAGTGAAGACGCTTTTATTCTAGCAGGCGCATCCTTCTTTGTTAGGGGGTTGATCAGTATTGATTGGATTGCGAGGTGTGGCAGGCTTGTGCTGGACTCCAGACTCAGCAGCATTCAAGTCCAAACTGAGGGAAAGAAAAAAAGATACACAGCAATGTAGCTTTTGTATTCATTTTGTTTCCATCAATAATATGAGTTTTGTGTGAAAACATCAATCAGATAAGAATCAATTAAATTTTATCTTAGTTTATTACAAATAGCCATTTTAATCAATCAGTGTTTTGTGACCTGTTACATCACATCTGTTTACATTAGGCTCTCCTAGTGTATCCTGTAAGTTTGGACACATTGAGCCTCACAATGAAGCTGACAGAGCAGTGACTTTTATTATACCACACATTGAATGGGGCGGGTAGGTTAGGATAGTTTAGCTCTTACAGTACCTGGCGCGTCTTTTTTCACCAGCTCATTTTTTTCCATGGCCCAAGTGCGTCTATATGCCACATAGAGGGGTGACTAATATAAACACAGAAACGAGGATATAACCTTTCACAGCAGTCTCGGGCAGAATGTTTATTGGTTAGGGGAATAGTCGAATTTTATTTTGCTTTTTAAATTATGAAAATCGACCAATAACTGAGTTTTTTGTGCGGATCTATATTTGCTGTTGCAATGGCGGTACCTAGCGCTAGTTTTGATGATGACTTACAACTTGATGAAACTATTTCTATTATTTACCTTTAATTGGAATTAGATGATTCTGATGCTGATGAGGAAGAGGGGGGTGAAATTGTTGAAGGAAATAGGCCTACTACAGCTCAAAATGTACGCCTACAGGAGCCTGTATGTTTGACAAATTTTAGACCTAGTGCGAATGTAGATGTTGATGTAGATCGACTGGAGGGATGGAGCAAAGAGGCCCCCATGGCTCCTAAAACTCCTTACAGTGGGCAATCTCAACTGTTAGCCCCTATAAACATAACATTAACCCCTTTTGATTTCTTTTCTTTATTTATTGATGAAAATTTTTGGGACCTTATTGTCAGCAAAACAAATCAGTATGCTGAAGTAAAGGCAATGGCATCTGATAAAGGGGAAAGTAAGTTTCTTGAAGACTGGACACCCGTTACCAAAGAAGAAATCAAGACATTTTTTTCAGTTTTATTATGTATGGGGCTAGTGGTAAAAACTTCCCTAAAAGACTACTGGTGTTCAGGGGGACCAACCGAGACACCATGGTTTTCAACTGTAATGCAAAGAAATCATTTTTTTGTCATTTTGTCCAATTTCCACTTGTCAGACATTGAGGCAGAGTATGAACAGTCAAGTGAGGAGAGAGACAAATTGTTCCAAATTAGGCCCTTGATGAATCTCTGTTTGGAAAGAATTAAAGCTGTTTATTCTCCAGATCAAGACTTGGCCATAGATGAAGCTATCTGTCCATTCAAAGGCCGTTTGTCATTCAAAGTCTATAATCCAAACAAGTCTAATAAGTTCGGCATCAAGTTATATACTTTGTGCGAATCCAATTCAGGTTACTGTCTGGGGTTTGACCTTTATTCTGCTCAAGCATCATTCCTTGATGATTATGCTAGTGATGCTGTCTGGGTGCAGCAGCTACAACCACTGATTTATTCTGCTCAAGCAACATTCCTTGATGATTATGCTAGTGATGCTGGTCTGGGTGCAGCAGCTACAGCCACTGATTTATTCTGCTCAAGCAACATTCCTTGATGATTATGCTAGTGATGCTGGTCTGGGTGCAGCAGCTACAACCACTGATTTATTCTGCTCAAGCAACATTCCTTGATGATTATGCTAGTGATGCTGGTCTGGGTGCAGCAGCAACAACCACTGATTTATTCTGCTCAAGCAACATTCCTTGATGATTATGCTAGTGATGCTGGTCTGGGTGCAGCAGCTACAGCCACTGAAAAAATAGTAGTTGGGCGGATCAATTTTTGTGGTTGTCTTGGAAAAGGACACCATGTTTATATGGACAACTATTATTCATCTGTACCAATGTATCAATTTTGGCAACAAAAGATACCTATGCCTGTGGCACAGTAAGGAGCAACCGAAAAGGGCTTCCAAAGATATTTAGTCAGGCTAAGCTTAAAGAGCAGCAAATTATTACAAGGAAAAAAGATCATTTGCTTGCCGTAAATTTCAGGACAAGAGAACGGTCCACATGTTGAGCACCATTCATTCTGATACTGGCAAAATAATGAAAAGGCTGAACAGGCCAGATAAAATAAAGCCAGATGCAATAATTGATTACTGCAGCAAAATGGGTGGAGTTGATTTACTTGACCAAATTTCTCAATACTATGAAATTACTAGAAAAAGTTTAAAATTGTGGCGGAAACTGGCTCTGTTCCTAATGGACATTTGTGTAGTCAATGCCTACATTTTGTAGAAAAATTCTCTTCAGATAAAAGGAAACTCTCTCATGCAGAGTTTAGAATACAGCTTGTCAAGGCTTTAGCAACCACTGTAAACATGAGAGTGGTACAAAGAAGGCAATCTGCTGAAGGTGGTGATGAAACTCCAGCACCCTTAGTAGAAAGGCACTTCTCCAACTATATTCCCCCTAGTGGTGAATCATCCAAGAGAAAACATGGGCAGAGTGTCTGCAATTTGCACCAAAAAAAACCCGAAAGGGACTTAAGAGAATCCAGACTTCCCATTGGTGTCCTGATTGTCAAGTACCTCTATGCTACCCACAATGTTTTTTTAAAATATATTATGAAATCAAAGACTTTAAAGCGGCTGCCCGAAATGAAAAACTTGGAGCCTATGCAAATGAATCATATGCCAATGATAAAGGAGAGGAGACAGAAGCCAGTGGAAGTAAAAAACAAAAGAAATAAGCCATTGTTTGATTGTTATTGGCTGATTTATATTTTCTGATTTTCATTGCATTAAAATTTTTTGTGTATAATCAATTTTCTTTTTTTATTTGCCGACTGTGACACGGATCACTCCCTTGTCGCCAGCAAGGTACGAATAATGAGGAAAAACTCGTACCACTCCAAGAAAAAGGGATGTCCACGTATCAATACCTTCTGCAGCTGTTCACAGACAAGGTGAAGGAAGGTATCTCAAGGATGTCCCCATGCATCACCATTGACTCGAAATGGACGCATCTCAGAGACACAATCTATACATCCGCAATACAGGCCTTTGGCAAAAAATCTCACAAAAACACGGACTGGTTTGATGAACATTGGGACGAGATGAAACCTGTCACTGAAGCCAAAAGGAAAGCTCTTACGGCTTACAAGGAAAAGCCTACACCCGACAGGTTGCATGCCTTAAAAACAGCCAAGTCACTTGCCCAAAAGGTTGCACGTAATTGCGCCAATACCTACTGGCTTAACCTCTGTTCCAGCATACAGTCAGCTGCAGATATGGGCAATGCAAAAGCAATGTACGAAAACATCAAAAAGGCAACCGGCCCCTTGACGTCCAAAGTTTCTCCTCTAAAGTCCAAAAATGGAGAAATTATCCAAGACCGGGCAGCACAGCTAAAATGGTGGGTTGAGCATTATCTGGAATTGTATTCAACAGTTACCACAGTCTCCAGCACCGCTCTAGATGACATACCAGATATGCCACTCATGGAAGAACTTGATGTCGTGCCCTCACAGGAAGAGCTGAGCAAAGCTATTGATAGTCTAGCTTGTGGAAAAGCGCCTGGGGATGATGGAATACCACCAGAGGCTCTAAAGAGTGGTAAGATAGCTTTACTCCAACCATTGCACGAGATTCTGTCCCTCTGCTGGGAACAGGGCTACATCCCCCAAGACCTAAAGGATGCAAATATAGTGACACTATATAAAAACAAAGGTGATAGGAGTGATTGCAATAATTATCGCGGCATTTCACTCCTTAGTATTGTAGGAAAGGCCTTTGCCCGTGTCATACTAACACGTTTACAGAGTCTAGCATCCCGTGTCTATCCAGAATCTCAGTGCGGTTTCCGGTCTGGGCGGTCTACCATAGACATGGTGTTCTCCATACGACAGCTCCAGGAAAAATGCAGAGAGCAGCAGATGCCACTGTACATTGCCTTTGTGGACCTTACAAAAGCCTTTGATTACGTCAGTCGCAACGGGCTATTCAAAATACTGGCAAAAATCGGCTGTCCCCCTCACCTACTTGCCATCATCAGAGAGTTCCATGAAAATATGCAGGGTACAGTGCAGTTTGATGGAGCCAAGTCAGAAGCCTTTCCAGTCAGCAGCGGAGTTAAACAAGGTTGTGTACTCGCACCAACACTTTTCGCAATATTCTTCTCTGTACTACTTCGATACGCATTCAAGGATAGCAGTGAGGGAATCTGGTTACACACCAGAGCTGATGGAGGACTTTTCAACACTGCCCGCCTCCGAGCCAAGACCAAAACGACAGATGTCCTAATTCGCGAGCTACTATTTGCGGATGATGCGGCACTAACAGCACACACAGAAATTGGGTTGCAACAACTCGTGTCAAGCTTCTCCAATGCCTGCAAAGAATTTGGTCTGCAAATCAGCTTGAAAAAGACAAACATCATGGCCCAAGACACTCGACCTCTACCTAACATAAAAATCGATAATGAAAACTTGGAGGTTGTGGACAGCTTCACCTACTTGGGGTCCAAGGTCTCCAATACACTGTCCATTGAAGAAGAAATTAACAGCAGAATCGGCAAGGCAGCTGCCACAATGGCTAAACTAAATAAACGGGTCTGGCAAAACACCAAGCTAACGGAGAAAACCAAACTGTGCGTCTATCGAGCTTGTGTCATCAGTACACTACTATACGGGAGCGAGACTTGGACCACCTATACATCCCAAGAGCGCAAGTTTAATAGCTTCCATATGAGATGCCTGCGTCGCATCCTTGGTATTAAATGGCAAGAAAAAGTGACTAATAGTGAGGTCCTAATGCGTGCGAATACCCAAAGCATGTTCACAATCCTTAGTGAAAGACCCCTGAGATGGCTAGGTCATGTTAAAAGAATGAGTCCCGGCCGCATTCCGAAAGACCTCCTATATGGTGAACTTGCTGCTAGAAAGAGGAAAACAGGTCGCCCACGTCTGCGATTTAAAGATGTCTGTCAAAGGGACATGAAAGCAGCCAAAATACATACAAGTGACTGGGAGTGTAAGGCAAAAGACCGATCTACGTGGCGCACAGTTGTCAAAGAGGGCGTCATGGTAGCCGAGGAGCGAAGAATGGAAGAGGCTGCAACTAGGAGAAAGGCCAAAACATTTGGAAGCACAGAACTCGTGTGTAAAAACTGTGGTAAAGACTGTCACTCAAGGATAGGACTGCACAGCCACTCGAGAAAATGCAACCCAACCCAACGGTGATGCACAATCGTCTCACGAGACGGAAGGATGCCGATAGAATTCTCTACATGATTTTATCAATTGTTTAAAACAAAAAAGTTACAAATAAATGTGCACACCTATCAAATTTTGGCTAATTCCAAAATATTCCCTGGGCCACAGGGAATAATAAGCAAAATGATTGCTGGTCCTGAGGCTATAAATAGCAAAAAGTAGGTCAGTACCGTAAGGGTTAATAACATTTTGATATAACATATTTCACCTCCAAAGATGTGACAAGTCACACTACAAGTCTGGATTTCTTTATTTGGTGCTTAGTAATTAAAGTCTGATTTACTTCTGTGACATACTTCTGATATAGTTTACTTCATTTTACATGTAGTGTATTTGATAGAAAAATCTAAGCAATGCATTGATATTAACATTAATGCAAGGTGGAATAATGTATATACAAAGTAACCTTTGATGTGTACGTTTGATGAAATAGAGTGAGTCATGTCAAAATAGCTCTTATGTCAGTATAAAATGTGGATGAAGTGAACATAAAGGATTGTACAAAAATCAAATTAGCCAGGTTAATTTAAACTAGAGCTTAACCGGGTGCAGTTTTTGTTAAACTGGGTATTTTCTCAAAATAGCCGAACGGTCCAAGTGTTACAAAAATGAGTTAACTTCTCATTTTCTATAATATGCAACGAACTCTACTGCCCTTTGTTGCAGTGAGAGTGCATTGCCGCTGTCAACCATTTGTGTCAAGAAATAACCCACTGATAGGAACAGGCAGTTGCCGGATCCTGGAATGGAGATAACGTACAAAACCCTGTCGCCAGAGAAGATAATGTCATTCATTTTATAACAAAAATAACAATACCTTCCAAAAATATTGAATTCCTTTCTAAAGAAAAAAAAATCAACCTAATTACCTGAGTTCAGACTTCAGCATAAAGCTTGCTGCGTGACCGCCCCTTTTTCAGTCAGTGCTAATAATATAAAACATGCAGCTGGGAGGGGGTGGGGATGTTTGAAGATGAAGCAGAATATACATAAGAGATTCCAAATATGGAATCAATTTCTAAAAAAAAAACACAAATTACCTGCCATCTTGAATGTTTTGGTAAATTTTCTTGGCAGTATCCAGAAAGGCATCTTCAACATTTTCACCCCTAAAAATTCAAAGATAACTATAGTCACAAGAAAAAATACTAATGATATTTACTATTGATAATTAAAATTAATTTTATTTTATATTTTAAGATCTTTTTGTTAAAATTATTTGAAATAACATTTAAAAGTGCAGAATATATATATATATATATATATATATATATNATATATATATATATATATATATATATATATATATATTTTCAGAGTGAAAGCATCACTAATTTGATGATTTAGAAAAAATATTTTAAACATTACTGAATAAATAAAGGGAAACTATTTCTTTCATAGTGAATGTTTAAGTTATTGTACACATTTTTCAATACCCAGGGTAATATGACATTTAAATGTGTAAGTTTTGGCTGGACAAGACTCACGTTTTTGCACTGCATTCCAAAAACATCAAACCTGTTAGAATAAGAATATAAAAAAATATGCAAATGACAAAGTTATGTTACCCATTGGTAGTTTCCACTATTCTTGCTTCAATGTAAACATAAGTTAAGTGAAAATGGCATAATTAGGTGTACTTTAAAAACAAAGGTCACAGAATCTATATATATAATTCGCCAGAAAGTAGGGCAAACAACAAGACCAAGACGCAGGCTATATATAGATACGCCAGATCAAGCAAGATGCAGGCAAACCCTCACCTCCCTTCCCTTGCCACTCTTGCTTGCCAGCCAGCTTGCGGTGTATGCTAAGCCGCGGGTCGGCGTGAAATAAAAAGGTTGACGTGAGGTATGATGAAAAAGGGGGGGTCCGGCTATATTTATATTTGCAAACAAGGCCACCGCTTCGCGTATATTTCATGGAAACAACGCTTCATTCACAGTTATACCAATTCCTGCATCAGGCAACTGCTTGTTTCTATTTTCTATGGGTTGCATATTTCTGGAAAAAGATCATTGACGAAACTGTTGCTCCTCAACTTCGCTAGCTGGCTGTAAACTTTGTTTCACAACATTGTGATAACTTCGTGCTCTCTGTTGTTCTCAGTGACGGAAACGTAGTCATACACTCTCCTCAACAATACGCTCACCCCAACAAGCCTGCGTCATCGTATGCTAAGCCGGGGGTCGGCTATATTTCTATAGTTCATGGGCGTGAAATAAAAAGTGTGCAGTGACGGGGAGGGGCACAAAATTGGCTTTCTTAAATGTGCGCAACTTGATTCCACGTTTTTGTCAAGTAGCTTTAGACTTTAGTAGATGGGATGTTCACGCATTGCTGTCACCAATGTTTGGCGGGCTATAACCAAACTCCCTTGCCAGCCATGCGCACACCCCAACAAGCTTGCGGTGTATGCTATGCCGCGGGTCGCCTAGTTGTATAATAATAGCATAAGAGATTTGAAATCCCTCCACACCTATTTCACATCCAGATGCTTGGTACAAAATTTTTTTGAAGACATGAAAATTATATTTGCTTAGATTCACCGTGTTATGATTTATGCAAAGTAAATGAAAACAAAATCTTCACATTATTGTTAGTTTAAAAAATGGCAACTAACCATTCTCTTCAGCAAATTGCTTGGCCTCTTCATAAGTTACATCTCTTTGAGCATCCAAATCACACTTATTGCCAATAAGGAATATAACCTAGGACAAAAAAAAAAAAAGCAAATGTATGTGAGAGAATAAACGAAGATTAAAAGATCAAAGGTTACATTTTAAATAGTGCTATTTATATTTATAAAAACTTACTTAAATAGAATAAAATTGCGTGGCTAAAAAGTTGTATCTTAAATAACACAAAAACATCAATAATGCTAAGTTACTATCAATTAAGCATTCCCCGCCCATATAATATACTCACGGTGTTAGGGTTTGTAAGGTTTCTAGCATCAGTCAACCAGCTGCTTAAATGGTTATATGTGCTACGCCTTAAATTTAAAATTAAGAAGTAATGTATAATTATAATCAATAAAACACTTGTCTACAGTTAAGAAATTTAAAAAAAAGTTTTTAAGAGTCAAGTGTACTGGGGTAGTTAAGTTAATATACAGAGAAAAAAAGAAAGTGATAAATTCTGTCATCCCCAACACTATTTTACTGGTCTCCATAAAAATTGACCATGCGTAGTACTTATTAACAATGCATCAGAGTGATGTGCATTTACAAAAAAAATTATATGATGAAATTAATATTAAAAAATGTGAATGAGGAAACACTGTTTTAAAAACTTTTTAAAATGACTGAAGTAGGAAAAAACTACATAAAAATGGAGAAAAGGATTGCAAGTACAAATTAAAGGAAACAAAAAACAAAGAGCTTTCAATAAATAATCTACATTTGATATTAAATAATTTACTTACCTTGTAATGTCATAGACCATAAGGGCCCCAGCAGCACCACGGTAGTAACTGCGAGTGACAGCTCGGAACCTCTCCTGCCCTGCAGTATCCCAGATCTGTAACTTTATCTTTTGTGATGCCACTTCTATTATTCTGAAAAGCAAATGTACTTAACTAAAGAGTCTATCCTATCTTAACAACTGCAATGCATAACTGGTACTAACTACAGTCATGATAAATTTTTAATACAGAACTACTGTAAAAAATAACTGGATATGTGAAGTAGAAATGGAGAATACAAACAAATTAATGAAAGAAAATGACAATAATTATGTTCAGAATTTTAAAATAAATCTAGTATTTAGTAAAATTCTAAAGAGCTTTCAGGGGTAAAATAAACAACATGTTCCATTCTTAATACCTTGTACCAAATTCCACTCCAATTGTATGCGGACAGTCTGCCATAACTGAAACAGAAATTTTAATTATTCTGCATTGTTTATAAAGTAAATTTTAAAAAAAAAAACATTTATTATTGTCTTATTCATCCATAATTTATAAAAACCAAATAATGTCCTCGAACTATAAATGTAACCAAAATATTAGCTACAAAGAGATACAATCACCTTTAACATAATAAATACATGAATCTCAACAAAAATAATTCAATGACTACAGTATTTCAAACTTCACTTTAAGAAATTAAAATAAAAATGTAATTTTTTTGCCAACTTACATTTTTTCTCTGTAAACTGATGCAAAAGGCAAGACTTTCCCACTCCCATATCCCCTATAATAATATATTTAAAGATATAGCTGTAGTTGTATGGGCCTGCTGCCATGTTGCCCTGTGTATGTTTAGTGGTGTTAGGCTACAGGACAATCTGAAAAGGTTTAGAAAGAGTATTTAACAAAAGTTAACTGAAAAACATTTGATTAATATTCTTAGCAATTTTTCTCATCATGATTAAAACAAAATAAATAAGACAATATCCAATGAGTGAGTCACACAGCTATGCAGAGGAATATAATAATTATTATATCAAGCAACCCTCTCCAAGGTCTTTTAATGTCAAATTTGATAATTAAAAAAAAATCATATAGACTAGAGAACCAGAGTAAATGCTCACATTAAATTAAACAAACAACAAGCTGCACATTTTCATACATTGTCTTAAATCCCTACTTCAAAATTAAAGCAAGTAAACCATCTTATTTATTACTTTTCTAACAGCTCATGTTCATACTAATGTACTTTTGATGTAAGAATTTAAAACAATAATTATATTTATCAGGTAATAAGTATAGGTTGTTGGATTTCAAAAAAATTCTTATTTTCCTCTATTAAGGCATAAAACATACTAACAAAAACATTTTTTTTTTTTAAATTTTGGATCACCTCTCAAAGCTTAAAAATCTGGATTATAAGATAATAAGATATTATTTAAAATATGCTTTCAGTCTTTGCTGATCTGTACACTTTGGCTTATGAAAGGAAATAATATATTTCTATGATTCTTGTAGTGGATTTCCATTAAAGAAAACAGTTAAAAGTTGAAAATTTATACATTATTAGAATTAACACGACCAAGTCAAAAGGAAATATACTGAAGGAATCATGGTAGATTCATTACAGAAATTCACCAGTGCAGCTTATGGTTTTATACAACCAAAGGACTAAGTGAGTACTGGTGTACCTACTATAGTGATGGTGAAAAATAATTTAGATTTAAAACACATTTTAAAAAAACAACTAATATTTACATCCCAATTTAATTTTTAATCTTCAGTAATTATTAACTGTAACTCTTACTACAGCCTACTAACAATTTGACTAACACTTTGAATTTAATTTTTTCATGACAGTATTAAGACAGTATAAAGACTAAGACTACTTAGAGGGCTTCATTTAATAGTTTATATATAGATTTGGCCTAAATAAGGAATTACACAAATAAATTCATGAGCTGATGCCTTTAACTTATATTAGCTTTCAAAATTTGGTGGGATTAGATTACACTCAGAGTCACAAGACAATAAGTCAGTAAAGATCTGGTTAAAGTTAAAGTATGTTTTTTACCAAGAGAAAAGGTTCAGGAAGCAAGACACACCACCACTACCCCCACTTTCATTAACACAAATAAGAAAAAAATAACCTTCTTCCTCCCTCACCAGACCCCTCTTGGACTTAAAAGATTTTTTTTTAAAAAGTGAGAAAAATAACTTGTAACAAATAGAAACAAAAGTAAAATTCAAAATCCTTTGAATACAGAACAAAAGAAATGGCTGGTAGTTGACCTGGAGAACCTACATGAGCAATATAAAGTAGAAAACATTGCCAGTCTTACTGCTAAACAATCCTAACCCATTAAGTTCATTATATTATATAAGTCCTAAGTTTGATCTGAACTGATGTCAAGAGTATATCTAAAAACATTTCTGGATTAAGAACCGTTTTGACATTTATATTTCGAATGCCTTTATATTTAGGCCTACTGATGATTCTAACTAAATCTGTTTTAGTAGGCCAGCCTATGTTGTATTCTCAATCTCATTTATTAATTAGGCTGATTAGTGAATAGGCTATGTGACTATTATTTAATTAAATTAATACATCTCTTGTCACTGTTGACTCAAGTGTCTAGAAATTAGAAATCCTGTCAGGTGTCACAGGCTGTGTGTATGAGTATGTGTCAAATACAAACAGTGGCTGGTTTGCATTTTCACACTGGACACCATCTTAAAATTAAAATTCAACAAACTTTAACTTTACACAGCCGTATGTGAATGTGATTAAAGCCAGTTTTAAAAAAAAAGTAAAGAAAGATGTCAGATGCTTAATTAAATATTAAATTCTCGTAAATACTGCATTAATTAGAAGTAGTAGTAATAGACTATCGACAAAGTAATTTGGCGTGTGGCTTACAAGAAGAAGAATTGACCCTAATTAGCTTCTTATACAACTACAACTACAAAACAATGTTGAATGTCTACTGTGACTATGAAACATTTTTTTAGCCTAGAGCCTAGAGATCTGGATCAGATGGAATACTAAGAATAGATAATTTAGAAGCGGAATTATTCACAGATATATAAAAATAATTTAATCATCACCTGTTATCTGTGTGTTACAATTAAATACCGTATGATGAGCTTTTATTGTATTTTAACGAGTGCTGCTTTAAAGTCTTGCTTACTGCGTGTAACTTAACTGTCTGTCTTAAGTTTGTTTATTGACAGTGCCGAGTGAACTAAAAATGGCGGAGATCTAATTCGTCATCGCCATCTACCGTAGGGGCGTAAACAATGGGAGATAACTATGGAAATATATATCTATATACACAAATAGATTTATAATTATTAAAACAAATCTATAATTATAAGTTTGTCAAAAGATTTATTAAAGTAGAAAGCAAATGTTGTCACGCAATTCGTTTTAATTATAAACACTGAGTATGATATTTTGAATTTCCAAATAAATATATTCTTAAAATGTATTTAAGTAATATTTCAGTAGTCATAGGCATGGGAGCCCGCAGAAAACTTTCTAGGGAGGGGGGGCAAAAAAAATCGATTAACTTTCCAGGGGGGGGGGCACATTTTTTTTAGTAATATTTTAATGTAGTTTTAATTTACTGTAGCGTATTTGTATGGTGAACGAACGGACAGGACATCAGCTTAGTTACTTTCTTTTTCTTTTCTCTTTACTTTAATACATTTTTTGTCTATTTTTGTCTAAACATTTTTTAACCAATCAATCCAGGGGGGGGGGGGCAAGTGCCCCCTACACAACTTACTACACTTACACTATATACAGTCTACACGATGATAATGATTGAGTACCTTTATAGCGCTAGTATCCATGTTATTTTAGCATGCCCCCAGCGCTCTGATGTCCTAAAATATATTTAAGAAAAAAGTCTCTAAATGATTCTTAAATAACTTTTTATCATTTTTAATTATTTTTCTTTTCTTTTTCTTTTAATTCATTTTTTGTCTATTTTTGTCTAAACATTTTTTAACCAATCAATCCAGGGGGGGGGGGCAAGTGCCCCCTACACAACTTACTACACTTACACTATATACAGTCTACACGATGATAATGATTGAGTACCTTTATAGCGCTAGTATCCATGTTATTTTAGCATGCCCACAGCGCTCTGATGTCCTAAAATATATTTAAGAAAAAAGTCTCTAAATGATTCTTAAATAACTTTTTATCATTTTTAATTTCCCTCAAAGATTTAGGCGCAATGGCTTCAATGGCTTCAATTCAAATGAGTACACTCCGTATGACTTTTTCTGTGCCCTTCCATACTGGGAACTCTCAGAAAGGACTGTGTTGACGAGCGCAGGTTCTTTATGGATACATGTTTAGAAATCATTCTATGAAGATATACAGGTGCAGAGCCTTAACTTTTATACGGTTATACGCCAGGGACAGAATTTTGTGGTCAATGCGCTCACTCACTGGAAGCCAGGGGAGATCTTTAAAAACTGGGATGATGTGGTCAGATTTGTCTATACGCGATACAATGCGTGCTGCAGTATTTTGTACCTTCTGGAGTCTCTTCTTCTTCTTCTTTATATTAAGGGCCCACGATCAATTTATTGATCGTTTTAGCTCCTATATTTGAATTTGGTTTTGAGGTAAACCCCCACAAACAACTACTGTTAAGTAATTTAATCTTGATTTGATTAGAGCAGTGGTTCTCAACCTTCCCAATGCCGCGACCCTTTAACATAATTCATCATGTAGTGGCGACCCCCAGCACAAATTTATTTTCGTTGCTACTTCATCACTGTAGAGCATATGTGTTTTCAGATGGTCTTAGGCGACCCCTGGGAAAGGTTCGTGCAATCCCCAAAGGGGTCGCGACCCACAGGTTGAGAACCGCAGGACTAGAGTGACTGCTACGGCATTGGGTGTTCTTTTATTGAGTTGAGGACGCAGGTGACCCAGAGCACGAAGATGACAGAAATAGGCCATGACCACATAACTGATATGAGGGATCATAGTAAGTTTACTGTCAGTGTAGATTTGAAGCCAAGGTCTCTAACAGTGTTGGACAATGGGAACTCAGAAACACCAACTTTTATCGATGCGATAGCAGCCTTCCGAATATTGGCATCATAACCACATATAATAGACTCTGTCTTATCATCATTTAATTTAAGTCAACTTGATGCCATCCATGATTTCTGATTCTGATAGACTACGTTGCTGCAACCAAGTACCGGCATATGTGCAACGGCATGGGAAACGATGCGGCTATCCTAACGGTCCCTAGTGGGTGACAGGGTTACCGGAAATTTGATCGAAAGAAATTTCGTCGACGGTAAATTGATCGACGGTAATTTGATCGAACGGAAATTTTGTCGAATCTTTTTTTTTCCGTTCGCACCTTCAAATTTTCGTCAAATTTCTTTTTCAACGCACTATACTATTTAGTAAAACAAAATAATTCGTCCAAAACGAAATTTGATGCAAAACTGTAACGTAAAAATAGAAAATAAGATTCAAATTTCCGGATACGGGGTGACAGGGCAGCCTTGAAACTCTCGATTGATGTCGAGTCCACGGCGGCATTGTCCAGTTGGTTCCAAGCAATTATTGTTCGTGGGAAGAATGATTATATATATTGAACTGTGTTACACCGAGGAAGAGTGAAGCATTTAATCTGATCATTGTTCCGGATGTAACTGCTCATGGAGTTGTCAGAGGTGAATTCAGTGTTTATTGAGTGTTTGGCTCTGGTTAAGCGACCTGGCTTCTGCGGGGTTAGATACGTGTTAGCTGGAATGGCCAGCATTAGCCCTGTGATCACTTTATAGAGAAATTTTAGACGGAGATTTTCTCGTCTGTCTTTGAGGGAGGGAATGTCAAATATTTTAAAGAGGTCAGTGACAAAGCCAGGAGTGGTGGATTTGTAGTCAATTGCGATGAAGCGCACTGCGTTGCGTTGTATTCGCTCTTTTTTGTCCACGTCTTGCTTTAGGTATGGGTCCCAGATTATCGCACCATATTCTAGTAGCGGACGGACGAGTGCGAGATAGGCATCTCGTGTGCAGGATGTTGGGCAGTGGTGCAGTTGGCTTTTTTTTTTAAATTTTGTTTATATGGGGTGACCATTTTAGATTATTAGAGAAAAGAATTCCAAGGTATGGATTATTTGATACTTTTTGTAAAATGGTCTTGTTTAAGGAGTACATTCATTATAGGTTGATGTGTTTTTTTCTTGAGATGCTCATCGTGTAGCATTTGGTTTCGTTAAATTGCATGCCCCATTTGTCCATCCATTTCATAAGGCACTTCAAATCTGCTTGGAGGTGGTTGTAGTCATCGTAGCCATTTATCTCTCTGTTGACAAGACAGTCATCTGCAAACCGCCTCACTTGAGATTTTACAGCATCGGGGAGGTCGTTTATGTGACAGAGGAAGAGAAGGGGGCCCAGCACTGTACCATGAGGAACTCCTGAGTCTACAGTGGCTTTGCTTGATCGGATGTCATCCACCACTACATGCATGGTCCTTTGTGTTAGGAATGTTGAGAGACAGGAGTGAAGGTTGCCGGTAATGCCGTAGTGGTAGAGCTTATGTAGAAGAAGGTTGTGTGGAACAGTGTTGAAGGCCAGAGAGAAGTCGAGAATAGCCATGTCGATCTGTTTACCTTTGTCATAGGAGGAAAGGAGGTCATTGGTGGTGATGATTAATTGAGTTTCTGTTGAGAATCCAGAGCGGAAACCGTGGTTTAGGTTGGTCAAAATGTTGTAGTGTTCAAAGTGGTCCTTCACCACAAGACATCAGTCCCCGACAGCTTGCACAGCCACTCCATGGTCTAAGGGTTCGGGGCGGAAACATTTTTACAGTTTTGTGCCATCCGCAAATAATTTGCGCGATATAACACAACTTTCAATAATTCTGCCAACCTGGCTAGTGTACATGGAGAATAGGTTAGTTTTAAAACTGAGCCCTGTGGCACGCCGCAGGCAAGGGAAGTGTCCATTGAAGATGCTTGATTCAATACAATACGCTGAGTCCTGTCACTACTAACTACATCTAATTGTCTAGCCAACATAGGCCAACGACGGCTAACCCTTAAATGTTTATAAATATATTATGGTGTATCATTAATTAATTTTAAAAAGTCAAATAGAAATGAAATCCTTTAGAGCCACTAAAAGTATATGAACCTGCAAAATAATAAGTTTTATTTTCCTCTAATTGCAAGAAACAAAAAAAAATATTAAAAAACAATTTAAATTATTTTTTATTTGATATGCGCTCTGTTGAATTAGAGTATTAATTAGAAATGCTATCATTGGTCATAGTCTATATTATAGCAGGCCTGCACAGCTCAAAATGTAAGGTGTGTCATAATACTTTATGAAAAACTTGTGCGGGCCATAATATTTTATGAAAAGCTTGTGCGGGCCGAAAGATAATAGGACAAGGCAAAATAACAAAAATAAAGAATATTTCGTTACTTCGCGGGCCGCCAAGTGGGTGCCGGTGGGTCGTATGTGACCCGCTGGCCGTATGTTGTGCAGGCCTGGTCTATAGTCCCAGATGATTGAAAGTCAAGTCATGGGGTTGTGGGCATGGGCGCCCGCAGAAAACTTTTTAGGGGGGGTTTGGGCAAACAAAATCGATTGACTTTCCAGGGGAGGGGGGGGGGCAAACAATTTTTAGTAATTTTTTAATATAGTTTTCATTTACTGTAGCGCATTTGTATGGTGAACAAACGGACAGGACATCAGCTTAGTTACTTTCTCTTTATTTTCTCTTTACTTTAATACATTTTTTGTCTATTTTTGTCTAAAAAATGTTTTATCCAATCAATCCAGGTGCGGGCGCCCATGGTTGTGGGCATTAGCAGTCTCAGCATGGTCGCCATGGACATTCGACAAGTATAACAAGTTTTGTATTGTATTAACAAATATAGCAGCATATTTTTAAATCAGTTTTGTAACAAAAAGCAAATTGTAAAATTATCTTTAATAATTTTATAACAAAAGACATTTAATATAAGTTTTGTTTTACAAAAATAAACACTCCTCCATTTCATTTTGTAACTGGAACACTCGATTTATATGCCGGATTGTAAATGCTTTTTCATTTACAATTGTTTGAAGAATAATGCCAATTATTTAAAAATCAATAACTTTATAATTTATTAATCTTCATCGCAAATTTCGAGAATGCAATCATTTTCTTACTTTAATTAAAATATTTTATATTATAATATTTATAATAACATTAATAATAAAAAGATTTGGTTTTAGGTTTAAGTCATGGTAACGATAAAAATTCGACCAATTGGTGGGCCACGTAAACTACTACTGTACAGGCTAGCAACATGGCAGCCTCCACAAAATTACTTACTCGCTGCAATGGTCTATCGATTTGTGTCTTAATGCTCTTGGTAGGTGCTTATATTTTCCATGCACATGGACAGGTGGATGACCATGATGACCACCCACATGAGCCTCCATCTTTTAAGTATAGTAGAGAAGCAAATTTAGATGCAAAGAAGCCACAACCCAAATCTCATCACGGACACGCCCACAACCACCACGGACACGCCCACAGCGATCATGGACACGCCCACAGCGATCATGGACACGCCCACAATGATCACGGACATGCCCACAGTGATCACGGACATGCCCACAGTGATCATGGTCATACCCACAGCGATCACGGTCATGCCCACAGTGATCACGGTCATGCCAAACGCGACCATGGACATGCACATGATACTGCCCATGGTCATTCACATGAAGAAAATAAGGGAGATGCAAATCAAATCCTAAAGGAATTCAGCAATAATGTCCACTCAAGTGAAGAACCACATTCAAAACGAGGATCTCCTAGTGGATTATGGATGAAAGCTATTGGGGCAACTGCATTGATCAGTGCAGCTCCAGTTCTTATTTTATTATTTATCCCCTTGGAAAATGCAAATGAGCATCAGCAACTGCTGAAAGTGCTTCTCAGTTTTGCATCAGGGGGCCTCCTTGGTGATGCCTTTTTACATTTAATTCCTCATGCTATATCTCCCCATTCCCATGGTGAAGATGAGAATGGACATGAGCATAGTCATGGCCATTCACATGATAAAGCTCATGGTCATGACATGCGAGTAGGTTTGTGGGTCCTTACTGGAATTATTGCATTCCTAATTGTTGAAAAGTTTGTGAGATATGTAAAAGGTGATCATGGACATTCTCATGCTGCACCAAAAGGTTCACCCAAAAAAGCTGTAGAAAAACCCACAACTTCAAAGGAAAAAAAAAAGGAAAAGGTCAGTGATGAGGATGAAGATAACAAAGGCGATGGACATTCCAAAAAGGGTTGGTATTTGTATTTTATTTAAGAAGAAATAAATATCTAATTTATTTGCATGCAGTGTTATGTTAGTCCATGTGGATAAGCATGATACACCCATATTTGGTTTTTTATTTCCAAGTTATAATTACTGTTTATCAGTTGGTGTATGTGCACAGGATTATTTATATTTCCCACTGAATGAACTAATACTAATATCATCATTTAAAGTTAGATAATTTATTCAGTTAAGTTATTAAGAAAATTGGATGACTCATTTAATTTAAATGTTACTTCTGTCAAATACAATTGACTGCATATATTAAATATATATTGACAGCATATATAGAAATTGACCTTAGGCATTTAGTTTGGTGCTACATTGAAAACATTTCATGCTTCTGTGACATAAAATTTTGAATATTTATATATATACTGGCATACTGAGTAGGTGAAGAATGCAAAAATACACTTTTCTGTCTGTACTAGTGTGCATCTATTTATGAATCTAAGACCCATACACAATGATAATTAAATGTCTATTTACCATAACCCAATTTCTTATACCGGCTACAAAGTGTCCTTAGTGTTGAAAGGATGCTTATCAGGTAAGGGTGTGTTCAGTCAGTCTTAAAATATGTGGTCATTGCCTACCTTAAACTAAACTGAAAAAATATTTTTTTTAAAAAATTCTTCTTGTACCGGTGAAAAAAATTATCTGTTGTAGTGAAGGCTTTTTTTGATACAGACCCTTGTTGTCTATTTTGATTTGTGAATTTTATGTTGTATTATTTACAAATATTGAGTGTATAAATTTAATTAGCAATTTTTAATGTATTAATAACTTAATTTATAACAGTTGCCACACCAAGCACATCAGGCTCAGATATCAAGGTGGCTGGATATTTGAATTTAGCTGCTGATTTTGCCCACAACTTTACAGATGGTCTTGCAATCGGTGCATCATTTCTAGCTGGTCAAAGTGTAGGTGTAATAACGACTGTTACAATTTTTCTACATGAAATTCCACATGAGATTGGCGACTTTGCAATTCTCATTCAGTCTGGTTGTAGCAAGAAAAAGGTATGAAACAAATCCTTATAATAACTTATATTAATTTTTAACTACCGGTACTGGGTAGTAATAACTTGCCAAAATTAACAAGGGATAGATAATTATTTATAAAAATAATTCTTTATAAATAATTTACTGTAACTGTAACTATAGGATTTCTCATAGAGATTTCATGGAAATGAGCGCATAATCCTTAGCATATTTTTCATTTGATATTGTTATGGTTTTAGGGAAAAAGAATTAGTAAATTGGAGTGATTTATGCATAAACTCATAGCTACAATTAATCTAGGTAGTTAGAGACTGGCAGGTAGAGAATGACAGATAGAGGTAGAGACTGACAGATAGAGGTAGAGACTGGCAGGTAGAAACTGGTAGGTAGAGGTAGAGACTGGCATCAAGAGGTAGAGACTGGCATGAAGAGGTTTGAGTGGTAAACTCTTCTTCTTGGCTAAAGTTGACAGTCTTCTGTTTTTTAATAAGACAGCTTCAGGGTAAGACTAGCTTGGCACACACCTATATTGTTTGCATTTGCCGAAGTGCAGGCTGGGGTCCATTATTTTTTTATCATGATGTACTTTTAAACCTTAAACCTCTAGAACTGCACATCTAACCTATAGATTTTTTTTCATTTGCTACTTGTAGGCCATGATGCTACAATTTTCTACTGCCATTGGAGCCATGGTTGGAACAATTTGTAGTTTATCGATGGAAGGTATCGGAGAAGCTGCTACTGCTTGGATTTTGCCATTCACTGCTGGAGGCTTCATCTACATTGCTACTGTCTCTGTCATTCCTGAACTACTGGAAGATTCCAAGATAGTGCAAAGCATCAAAGAAATATTAGCTTTATTAGTAGGAGTTTATATGATGGTCCTTATTGCAGAGTATGAATAAATGAGTTCTCTGTTTAGCTTGTTCACATCAGATGATGACAAGAACAACAATTACTTGAACTTGAACACTTTAAAACAGTGTCTGAACTGTCTGTATGGTTGAGGATTATAATTGTATGCTAAGGTGTTGTTTTTCTTTAATAGCTTTTCTCTTATCCTATCTAGTTCAAAAAGAAGAGTTTCTCTAAATAATTAGATTAAAAGGCATGAATTGAATGTAAGGCTAAAAAAATATATTTTCATAGCTTTACAAGTCATAGCAACTGAAATTTTTTTATATTTTCAGCAAATATGATCCTAATCTTAAAAAAATCTTCAGCTTCTCTCTACACACAAATGCTCAATTTTTGCCTGTATCATATGAGAAAAGTTAACTAAATGTTTACCAGGTGTTTAAAAATGATTTAATTTTAAACTACCGGTATTAAAACTGTTATCTGACTTCCAGCCTAATTACTATTTTTAAGTTTAATTTCCTAAGCCTAAACTCTCCAAATTAGTATTCTCCTATCCTTGTTTTTTTAACTGCTCAAAGACTGAATGTGTTCATTGCCAAATTTATTGTATTGTCATTTGTAGCTTATAAATAAATTTACATTTACTATTATGCTACCGAATTTATCTATGAGTTCACATAATTTGTCTTGTTATTTTCAGTCAGTGTCTGTAGTATTAATAGTATTATTAGCACATTTTTTTGTTTTTTAAAAATAAAAAAAAGGGTCAAATAAAGCTCCATGTCAGAAAGTTTGTATCTTGTTAAAACAGGGTATTAAATTAAAATGAATCTCACAACTCCACTAATTTCCAGTTCAATTGACTAGGGCTATTTTAATGGTCATACATTTTATATTACTTATATTTTTCTTTATTATTAATTTCATATTATTTCATTAATCTCATGCTCAGATTTAAAAATAATGGTTATAAATGTTCCAACAATGGTATTGCTGCTGCTTTTAGTTTACATTGAAACAGCCTTGAAAAGTTTTTAAAAATAATTTTTTTAAGTGGCTACAGGTAGTAGCAATAGTAATAAAAATAAAGTAACACGTTTTAAAATTTGTTTTTATTTCTCTAACTCGTCGTAAGATAGCAGACCTGATTATGGGATAATTTAATTTCAAAATAATTACGGTTAGAATTATGTTTTTAAGTTCTTGGAAAAAAGAGGTTGGGGATATCATATAAATAATCAGAATGTTGTTAGTAAATGGGAGCATTTAAAAAAAATATTTTTTTTTTAGACTCTTCAGTATGTTGCGTTATTTATAAGTTAATTGATAACAATTTATAAATATGTTTTCTATATTTAAAACTTAACAATTATTTTGTTCACTTTGTTTAAAAAAGAAGGGGGCAGGGGGTTAAACTGAATTAAGACTAGGGCTCTTTTAACTTGGTTAAATTGTAATTGTAGTAGTAGTAGAGGGTGTAGACAAGTAGTTTGAAGTGGAAGCTTATACCGGGTATAAGTTATATCTATATTTTTACACAATTTTGTGTATGCTAACTGAAAATGAAAATCTAAAAAATGTTTAGGGGATTAAATTATTTTAAAACTAATTTAAGCACTTCCTAAGATGGCAAATGAGCTGTCCTGTAAATAAATCATATCATATATAATAAAGACCCATTCCTTGTACATGCAAAGTTTGTAATTTTACCAAGTAATTAATAAGTTTTAAATAAATATGTTATGTTTTAGGGCAAACATCTTTAAGCACTGACAAAAAATATATTACTAAAATTACTGGTAGCTTAAAATGTTTACGCACTGTGATGATTATAAAGGAAATTTACAAAATGCATTGTTAATATTTTAACTTAAACACTAATCAAGATTTTGACACGTAAGAGCTTTCAGTTTTCAGTGGCTTACTTATGAGGGTGCAAAGTGTGTGAGTTTGACCTCCTCGGATGGAACATATGGGGTTTATATTTAACAATAATAATTATATGTAATGTAAATGATGTGTGTGTTGAGGGGCCCACTTTTTAGGTGTTCGCGCTGTTAGGCATCTAGTCAAGGTATACCACTGAGAGCTTTGTAATTGATTTATTATGTGTAAATATTTTTTTTGTATTACCGGTACATAGCCTAATGGAAGGGTATGATTTCTGTTAATTATCATTTTTTGGTGATGGTCATATTTCTTGTTGAATTAAACCATTCAAAGGTTTACAAAATATGCTAACATTTTTTTGTCCTTGCTCCGAATGTCAATAAAATTAAAATATACATGAGTTTTGGGGTTATCTTTCCATTTCTTTTGAATGTTACTGGAGTACAGAAAAAATGGATACCAATACCTTTGGGAAACTTATAATTTAATTCTTATATAATCTTGCAAAGCTCCAGTGTTTTAACACAATATAATTTAATATAAATCTTATTGACAGTATAAGACCATCCATCCCTGTGGTGCTACAGCCCATGTAGGGCTTTGGCCTGCCTCACTACTTCCTTCCACTCAGACCAAACTAATGCTCTTCTTGTCCAAACTTGGATTCCCAGCTACTGCAGATCTTTTCCCCACATCATCCATCTAGGACTAGGTCTGCCTTTGAGCCGTTTTCCTCTGGGGTTTTGGTGGTGTACCCTCTTCACTCCTCTGTTATTCTTTCAAAGTGTCCTGCCCAGCGAAGCCTACCCTTTTTTATTTCTGCTACTAGCCTGGGATCCTGATTGTACAATCCCTAGCTGGTTCGTATACTCCATCCATATTCATCCTTTGTTGGTCCATACATTTTCCGGAGAACTTTTCTCTCCAATGTTTTTAATTATTAATAGGTTTTCTGCCGTTTTTGTTAGGGTCCAACTGTCACTTGTGTATGTCACAACTGGTATGATTACAGTTTTATAAATAGTTTTCTGTTTTTCTTGTAATGCTTTTACTTTTGAGTATTTTCCAACTTCTGAAGTATATCCTATTTCTGGCCGATATTCTTTCTTTTATTTCTGTTAGTAAATCGTTTCTCTTATTTAATAAAAATCCTAGGTATTTGAATTGATTTACTTTTTCCAAAGTGTTTTTTAATTTTAATGGCTAAATGTTAGGAAAGCCTGTCATATTGTCTGCATTTACAAATACATACATTTTTTTCACAATAGAAATCGCCAAATATTTCTGATAAATTAGCAATGTTCAGCGAGATGTTTTTAAACTCAGCACAAATGAAAGCATTTCTATCTTTAGTCGTCTAACTTAATTGTTCTTAACAGAATAGTCAATCATTAAAAGCATTGGTTTTAATTGTATTTACTTTAGTATTCTAATATAACAGTGTTTAATAACTTGCTCAGTCCATAACTAAGTTATCAGCAACCAGTTGTGGGCATTGGAAGGTTTAGTGGTTTAGACATTTTTCCAAATAAGATAAAACCCATTGTATGTCATTGATGATGCTCTTAGCCCCATCGATTGCAATAATGTGTTAACACAAATTCCTTGCTGAGGATCTGTTCAACAACAATATATAATGCTGTTTGGGCTTGGGAGTTGTCCATGCCATAAAGGACATCCGCAGAGATTTGGAGGTAGGTCCCCATTCCATAGCGGACAAAGGGCGAGGGGAAATCTTGCAGTCATCCGCAAGCTGCCTTTTTAAAAATTATTTGCTGCTTTAGGCCCACTTTGTGTATTCCCATATGGCTAATCAGGACTTTTTGAAATCAATCCTGCAGATGATCTAACCGAAACCTTGCAGTTGACCAACTTGATTAGCCATTGCCTATCATCCTTTCAATAAATTTAATTCATAAAAATTATGTTTCCCAATTTTTTTACATAACATTTTTAGCTACAAAATGTGCTCATTATTGTAAAGTATAAAAACTTATTTTAGTTTTTAATAATCTAGACCAGGAGTGTGAAACTCAATCGCTCGGTGGGCCAAAACAGGATAAACATTCAATTAGCGGAAAAATAATCTTTTTAAAAAAAACATTTATATAAATTTAAACAGAAAAAAGTTTTAATAATTAAAAATCATTGGCATACCCATTTTCGTTCTAAGCGCCAATTTGTCAGAGCTGGATGTTTGGTAAAAACAAGTAAGTTCGTTTATGTTGGGAGTAACGCTGTGTGTCTTTGAGATTCTCATGATGGACTGCAAATGTTCACCAGTGAGACGACTCTTGTGTGATGTTTTGTTAATCTTCACCATAGAAAACTGCTGCTCACACATATATGTATTACCCAATATGATCAAGGTTCGAGCCGCATGTAGACCAAGCTGGGGCATCTCTTTAGGAATGAAACGAGTGAACTGTGCAGGCCAAACTGTATAGTAATTTGCCTTTGTGTCCCATTAAACTGCAGCTCTATCACTCTGCAAATTTACAGGTGCAGTTTCCACATCTATGACAAATGGGTTACAAAACAGCTTGAAATTACATTTATGTGCTCAAAAGTTACTAAAGCGCCGTGCGAACTCGGTGCAAAGTAAACTAAGTTTTTTTAAAGAAAAGTGTGCATTGGGAAACAGCATAGCGCTGACTTGGATATAATTGTACACCGGTCAAGATCTCGTGGGCCTGATATAATTGTTCGACGGGCCGGATGTGGCTCGCATGCCATGAGTTAATGTGATCTAGACAATTTCTTAAATTTGAAATTTTGCAAAAATAAGAATGAATAAAAATCAACAAAAAGAATTGTCATATAAATTTGCTCACTACCACCCCCGCCCCATATAATAAAACGATAACCCCCACCCCCCTCGCGTTATACAATATGTGTACAGTCCATAAGATATTTTATTTAAAATAAAACCAAACTTTATTGTTTTAGTGATTGACAAAGCAAAACCTCAGTTTTAGTTGTTTACAAAACAGAAACCGAACTTTAGCTGTTACTGAACTGAACTTTTGAGAGGATTATATTCCCATTTCTAGTTTTATTATAAATTAACAATGTTGTGTTTTGGAGGGTGGGAAGAGAGTCAGGGAAAAAGACCAGCTTAGAGACTTTATAAAAAAATAGCCATTCTTTTCTACCCCAGTACCTAGACATATGTAAACAGCATTATCATGTGTGATCTGCCAGGAAGTCTTATAATATAAATCAGTCAAATCAAATAGTCAAGCAGATCTGAGAATTCCAGAACATGTGTGTAAAAAAACACAACTTGCATGTTTTAAAAAGATAATTTGTAAAGAAATAGCAACCAAATATTTGGAGTGATTTCCATCATAAATTTTGTGCATATTTCTCATTAATTTAAGGCTATAACTATTTCACAGATAATTCAGCCGTAGATGAAGCCTGCCAGTTTAACATTTTTATACATACTGGAATTAACATTAGGGCCCAAAGGAGCATTATAAAAAAAAAAAAAAGATCATTTACCCCTCCCTCTCCTAACAGTCCATATTTGAAGAAATCCCCCTTTGTGGATGTTGTTTATGAATGACCCCTTAGACATTTCCGTGATATCTGATCTGCCAAACTTCAAATATTGGCTAACACAGGTCTAAGGACTATCATATAAATTAAAATAAATAACCCAAGACAGAATAAATTGTCCCTAATCACCAAATTTATTGAACAGATGAAAATAATGTTTACACTAAAAACACTGATTGTATCCCTTTCTTTTAACAGCCCCCCCCACTTCTTTAAAAGATTTAGATGAATATGATCCACAAGGATTTTAATTTAAAAAAACAACAACGCATTATTTCACCAGTCTGTGGTCGTACCCATTTTTTTTTATAAAGTCTAATGGCTCATCAGTTACTTAGTTGTCATAAAATGTCAATGAGAGTACAGTATAACTTAAATTTACCAAAGTAACATTCATAGATGTTACATAAGTAAGAAATGTTACCAATCAATGACTGATAGACCAACACAATCAAGTAAAGCAGTAATTCCGAAAGGTCATAATATAACCAAATACTAGTTCGGCAGTCAGTAAATGTTTTCATCTTATAATTTCAAAATTAATTTTTCAAATGAAATATCCGCAGCTAAAAATGATACTGATATAAAGTCGCATGTTAATGTATTTCATATATCAATGTACATCACAAACATCCTCGATAATTATAAAAATTATAAATAACTAATGTCATTATTGTTGCGTGGAAGGCCTGTGGAACAAAAGAAAAGGAGAAATCTCAGATACTTAAAAGATAAATCATTGGTACACTTAAAGGCTTCTATCTTAAAGTTAAAGCTAAATAAAAATAACTTTAAAACATAGAATCTATGGACAATGGTAAGACTTACTTTGCCCATTCCACATTGAGGATGAGATGATCATAGCCAAAACCAGAAACACCTTGAATAGCCCTGGCTGCATCTTCACGGCGATGGAAGTTTATGAAAGCGAATCCCTGCATCAATATTAAATAGTTAAACTCAGGAATATGGTAACAATAAAACAAAAGTCTTCAAACAAATATTTTTCTTCATTTTTTTTTTTGCAAACAGCATTAATAATTAGTTTAGAGCATTTATAATTGAGATGACGAAATAATGAATAGGTGAAACTGAAAATCAAATTTATATAAATTATTATTAAAATGTAACCAACAACACAGGTTGTGACACATGAAAATAGCTCAAACAATCAAAGAGTAGTTATCCCCAATGTGAAACTATCAGTCACTTGTGTATTTATATACAGATCTGCCAACTTGCCAAGAAAAAAAATCTGTAGGGGGGTGCGCGCAAGGAAGGGCGTGTTGGTTTGATATCTACATACTAATGCACAAGCCTTTAAATATAGAGTTACCTCCATTGTCTTTGAAGAATATGGAAACATTTCTATGACTCTAGCATTAAAACAATCGGAAGTGGGCTAGAGAAACATTTCCTTAAACAAGAGAGGTGGTAAATTAAACTTCCGATCCCTTAGCAAAGAAATTAGACATGGATGTTGTAGATTCACTACTTTTAGCTGCAGTTGTATGTTTTTTTGTTAAAATATGTTTATTAATATCATTGTACCTTTTATTAATATCATTGTAACTACCACTTTCAATAGATTTATCCATTCAATTAAGAGACAAAAAAAAAAAAGTACCAACACAACTGAATTATTTTTTGGCTTAGTAAAAGGATCAATTGATCATCAATTTGATGACTGAAGAATGATTTTGAGATTGCGGTTCGCTGCGATAAAAACAAGGTAATGTCTACATGTCGGGCAACCGAACTGATCCACTATTAGTGGTCACGTGACAAGACTGACTGAAAAATATCTCGTGCAACTTTGTTATGGTGGTCATGTGACTTGGTCGAATATATAATAGCTGGACGAATTTCTCAAGAACTTATTCGCCCGGTTTCCGGACATGTAGACACTTCATAATGCACCACTTCCTGGTGTAACCTATTTTTTTCTCTCCATATTTTTATGACGGGTGAAAATTTATACTGCTAGGAAATTTTAACGGGATTGTCCGACGGTCGGAATGAGAGGAAAAAAATCCATATAATTTCAACAAAACCAGAAGGGTTGGTAGGTCTGTATTTACCATAAGTGTTAAAAAATCACATCTTCCTAGACTTACATAGAAATATTTGCATGACAGACGAATGTATAAAAATTTAAAGCAAAGGAATACCTTTGATTGACCAGTGTTTTTGTCTTTTGCCAAGTATATCCTAGATATAGGACCAAATGGTCGGAACAATTCTTGTAAATCTGACTCTCTGGTATCTTCAGACAAATTGGTAACTCTGATTGTTGCAGCCTCATCTAGATTTGAAGAAATACAAATAGGTAAATAGGTGTTTTTCTAAAATAGCTTACCTAGAGCTGATATGAATATATTAGCACCAGCGAAAGAGTAGATTAAAGAAAAGCTGCTTTGGCGAAACTATATGGAACCAATACTTCATTTTGTAACCTTTACCAATTATAAAAATAGTGCAAGATACAGAAATCTACCATTACCTCCTTTCCTAGCTGTTGACATAGACTCTCCTCTTCCCTTGTTAGCCCCCTCTCGCAATGTAGGTGGAATATACTTTCCTCCAGTTGGCTTGGGTGCCGGCGAAGATGAGACTGGGGCAATATCTGGCTTTTTTGTTCCTTCTTCTAACTTTTCCTAACAATGAAACATCAAAAATAAAATAATGTTTAAATACATTTAACTACCGGTACATTAAATTTTGAATTTTGAGAAATAATCCAAATAAGTTTTTCCACAAAGTTATAATGAAATTATAAGGCATGCCAAATAATTTACAATACTGCAAACCTAAATAAATCATTAAAATTTTGGCGAAAGACCTTACAGTTTATACACAAATGAGTAGAACTTATCCAAGCTAAATACTAATAAGACCATAGATTATCATATAGAAACTGAAATGTATCAATATTACCTGTAGAGGCTGCAAGGTATCTTTGTATGGACATTTAGTAGTCCAGTGGTCTCCCTTACAGATACGGCACTGTACAATCTTTTGATTTTTTAACTTGTTAAGTGGATCTTCTTCTTCAGGAGCCGGTGTCTAAACAGATGCAAATGGACAGTTTTTTTGCATTGTATATAATCACAACATTTAATTTGTGTTTAGCCTCTCTCTCTCTCTCTATATATATATATATATGTAGAGATAAAGTATCAATTAGCTGGTTTCAGTGAAGTTTTTACATATTTAATCAGAATCTATCCCTTAATATACATAAAAGACATTAAGCAATAACTATGTCCACATAAGATACTATTGTAAACAATACAGGACTTATTCAAGCAGTGGTTAGTCATTTTAAAAAAATGACAGTCCCAAAAGTTTCATAGTAATGAGTCAGTAGAGCACCTCTTTACTCTGTACAAATTGCATGAAAACCTCTTCTGTCAAGATGGTGTTGGAAGGATTAGGCCCTGGTGGATCACCAGCAGCTGCACCATACTTTTTCCACATCTGAAATGTTAAAAATTAAAATGATACAGTAGTGAACAAAAGTGAAAAACAAACAGAAAACAACAGAAAAAAGTATCAAAACAAAAAGGGAATACTTGTTACAAAAGGTTCTTCCAAGTTTAAACAAAACAACCAATTGTGAACACACAGATTGAGAATCTGGCATCATGATGGCCAGATTCTCTAGTACATGTGACCCAAATCATGATTATATACCTATCACTTACAACCAGATCTGACAATTGCATAACCAGACAGCTGTCAGGATAGGATTTTTATTATAAGTCTAGAACAAGTACCTGAAGTAATGTGAGACACTAACCTTCCTCTTGGCTATGGACTTCGAGAGTCGGACAGTTTCAATTTTGAATGTACGAATAACCTGAGTGATTAAATAATCAATTTTCACTACCATTCATCAATCACAATTTATAACAATGTCTGAAATATTTATCCCACCCAACATTGTAATAATTAATGAGGAAAAAAACATTGCCTCACAGTCAACTCTACATACTTAACATTATTATAAATCAAATATTTCTTATACTTTACACATACTATTCTGCATAGTTTTAAGTATATCAGTAATAATCAATCGATTACAAATTCACTTATGTCTCTAGCCTCATTACTCACAGAGGATAAAAATGGTTACCGGAAATTTGATCGAAAATAATTTCGTCTTAGGAAATTTGATAGAATTTTTTTCTTCAAATTTCCGCTCTATCAAATTACTATCGATCAATTTACCGTCGACAAAATTTATTTCGATCAAAATTCCTGATAAAATAAACCAATTTTAACAAAAAATGAAGGTAGGAAAAACTGAGAAAAAAATAAAATTGTTTATCAACAGGCTGGTAGATAATCAGTTCATTGTGGTGATCAAGTGTTGAAACATCAAAACGTATCTCTCCCCCCCCCCCAACCTCATTTCTGTAAAAAAAATTGATTTTCTTTTAAAATGGAAACAAAAATGTTAAAATAATTAAAAAAATGAAGGTAAGAAAAAATGAGAAAAAAATAAAAATTTTTATCAACCGGCCGGTTGATAATCAGTTTCTTGTGGTGATCAAGTTTTGAAACATCAAAACCTATCCCCCCCCCCCCCCCCCAACCTCATTTCTGTAAAAAAAATTGATTTTCTTTTAAAATGGAAACAAAAATGTTAAAATAATTGAATTAAGAATGACTCACCTTAATCAACTTGCCATCATCATTGTTTTTATATTCTGTAATTGTTTTAATACCTTTCTTCTCATCATACTCTTCAGTGGGTGGGGGAAGGATGCCTATAAATAGTTGATATAACATTAAGCACATAATATTTTAAAATGACTTTAAATATAATATATATATCTATCAATGAAATTTTCTTAAATTATCACCTTACATATATGTGCTATTTATATTAATCATATATCATATATATATATATATAAATATAAAAGTGAAAATTTGTTTGTGGCTTTGTTTCAAAAAGGCTTTTACATGTGTTGATGGATCTTGACCAAACTTGACACATGTATCCATCATTATCCGGAATCAACTCTAGGGGGGATATGAAATTTGTAAAACATTCCGTTTGGGGCCGGGGGCCTTCAATTCTTTTTTTTCCATATATGAGCTATATAAATAAATGACCAACAATTACTCCTAAAGGAATAGATAAATATGACAAATTTCATTTTTCCTTATACAAGCTATATAAATATCACTAGGCTTAGCACTATAGGTGCTATGTGAATTGATGGATATAGTCCTAACGTGGTAGCAATACATTTCATCATCCGTTTTGAAATAACGGTGGATCTAAAACTAAGAATATCCAATCAGAATTTTCCAGAAAGGTTGGTAACTTTAAAAAGCTATATCTGTGGCATTATTAAATAGTTTTAATGGGACGAATTTTAAATTTTAACGCCATTATTTATCTAAATGATTTTATGGAGCCCCCCATCACAGGCCGAATTCCACTGGAAACGGGATCTTAACGGGATCAGGATTCTATTAGGAAACTCGATCCTACAGGGATGGGGATCCCACCAGGATCGGACACCCAATGGGTAGGGGCGGGGGGGGTTGGGGGGGGTTTGTCCCCTCCAATAGAAAATGTGATCCCAGTTTGGTCGGAATCACAATGGCATATGAGATCCCATTTGGAAACTGGATCCCAATAAAAATGTGATCCCCGTCTGGTCGGAATCCCCTTGGAAAATGGCATCCCATTTGCTAATGGGATACAATCTGGGAACGATAGGTTCACAAAAGTTATTTTAAATGTGTTTTTATAGGAGACAAATTAATTCTTTTATTTTGTTATACTATAGGTTTTTATTTTTACTTTTCGCTTAATTTCAAAGTTTAATTTAAAGGCTGTAGAAGTTTTTTGTTTTTTTCCGAATGCTATCCCATGCAAGGCCTGGTATATTGGCTAGTTATTAATATAAATTGCATGTTAATGTATGTTTTTTTAATAGAAAAGGAAATTTCTTTTTCATTTGTAAGTTATTAGACATATAATCATATAACTTTATACACTTCTTCACAAAATATTTATCATAAAACTTTACTATGTAATACTATATTATGATATATATAGTATTATGATAATATTAGTGTATTAAATCAGATTTCATTTATATTATGTACACCCAACTTACCACACAGTGAACTCATTTGTTTTAACATGAAAATAATTTACAAGATACTAAAATACTGGATACAAAATTTGAGACACTCTGTCTTTAATTTAAACTGCTTCATTGCCTTATTTTTCTCCAAAAGTGATTGGTCAGTTTTGAAGAGTGAATCCAAAACTTTTGAAGAGTGAATAATAACTTACTTGTGAAACCTATTTAACAGTAATTAGAACCATAAATCACATCTCTATATTTGGTCTACATTTAGTGAAACAAATATGGTATTTGGCACGAATTTATGAGACCTGCCCAACTAAACTATTATGTCTAATGTAGTCACTATACAATAATTTTTTAAAAATTCAAAGCTAATTAAAGTAACACAATTGTATAAGAGCCTATAAAATTTTAATTTCCTTCACTTTCTTATTTTTCCCATATGATCTTGTTTAGAAATTACTATAGCCTGTAATCCACTGGTTTTATGTTGTGGGTCTCCCCCCTCCCCCCAAAGAGAAAGGCCTTCATTTTTTTCCTTGAATATTTTGAGCTTATACAGTGGAACCTCTCATACTCATAACAAGCATAATTCTTTCCAGAATCTTACTCGTTAAGCGAAACACTCGTTAAACAAAACAATTTTCCCTATACAAATCAATGTAAAATACCATAATGCATTCCATGCTGAAAAAATCCTAATTTTTCAAAAATTTTTATTAACATCTATTCAAATAAAATTACTTATGAATTGTTAAGGAGTGTAACAACTTGGAATACAATTTAGATTTGAAACAAAAAACGTAAATAAAAATATGAATTTAGCACAAATAATTAATCCTTTTTAACTAGAAAACTGTCTAAAGTTATTTGTTTTTGATGACGCTTCAAAATTTTACGAAAATGTGTCACAGAATTATCATTGAATAAATTTTTAGCACGAATAGCCACCTCCTTATTAGGGTGATGCGTCTCAATGTACGATGCAACAGTTTCCCAAGCTTTCAGCATTTCTCTTATTGCGCTAGAAGATTGTCTTGCTTTTCAATGATTTTACATTTCATTTCAACAGTTATTTTTTCTCTCTTATGATTGTCTTCTTGTGGATTTTTCTTCAAAGACATTTTAGCACAGGTTATTACACTTTGCACATAAAAAAATTAAGAATACTGTCTGAATACAAAATTTGTAAAACTGGTGATCACACACGAAAACAATACGCTAACAGACCGAGTGCTAAACATAGACTCATGCATCAGCGCCGAAGTCCCGACTCACAAATGAATGTCGGGAAAAAGTGACCCCCCCCCCTCTGTGTAACTCGTTATGCCAAATGTTGCTCGTTAAGGGAGCAACTTCTTCACATTTTTGTTTGCTCGTTATGCAAATTACTCATGAGAGTATTTTATCCTTTCATTGGATTTCTATAGCCTTATGTTTCATCAGAGCCACCTCCACTACTAATGTCATGCTGGTTTGAAGCTATGTAATACAAATTAATATCCCAAGCTTGGATTTGTCCTATATTCTGGTGAATATTACTGCTATTAATTTACATATCATTAAATATTTTAATTAAACATCATTTTCTAGTTTTGCAGGATTCAATGTACAATTGCAAATACAGGTGTGCTAAAATGGGGAGGGGAAAGAGAGAGAATGTGCTATTTAAGCTACTTATCAAGAGAAACAAAATTGGAATAAATTGTTGAAATTGAATGGTCACTTCCTTTCCTGTCGCAATTTCAGCAGGTACATAAATTTTGTGGTGAACGTAGCAACATTATTGTATCAACTCCCCTCGACTTACATAAAATGGGTGCTATAATATTTGGCAGTGTCTACACGTCCCGCGACCGAACAAATAGTGTGGAAGATGTTCTTCCAGCGGGTCGTCACGTGACCGCCGGACGACTAGTATGTGTTATTATTTCGGCAGACATGTCATGTGACAAGAGGTCGTCGAAAAAAAAAAGTCTGTTATCTTGGTTTAAATATTGTATAAAGTTCTACCTAGTAGTCTACATTTAAAATATGTACCAAACAAAATAAGACCAATGCCTGCCAGTTGACTGTCAATAGATCTACTAAAAAAGTTTTATTTTAGGCTATTGATATTGTGTGAGAAGTAGGCTACCCCAACAGCCATATATTAAGATAACTCTCAGTATTTCTTTCTTCTAGTATGCATTGCTCACCTCCCCCCCCCCCACTTATTTCTTGAAATGAGTGTATACTTGTCGCCTCCCACCCACTCCAATGCACCTTTTCCAATGACGCCAGTTTTATGATCGACTATTAGCTGTCACGTGACAAGACTTACTGACAAATATCTCGCCCAACTTTGTTTATGGCGGTCATGTGACTCGGCCGCCGGACGAATATCTCGTGAATTATTCGTCCGGTCGCCGGATATGTAGACACTTCGATAAAATTTAGCCTCATTTAAGGTAAAATATTATAAGTAACCACCCAATGACATATTAATTTACAACATTCTATCAGGGTATTAATAATGATTTAAAAAAAAAAAAAAAAGTTAACTAAAAGGGAACTCACATCCTGATGCGAAACATCAGCATACATTTGTTGTCATTTGTGATTGTTACTCATTGTCCCTTTAGCCTTTGCTTTAGGATAATCATAATTTAATAATGCCTCACAACTTTCACAAATAACATTCTAACTGGACTAGATTTGACTTTGAGTGAGTAAGTAGGTTCTAGTTATTATAACTTAGTTTAGGCTATCTAAATGTTAGTCATTGAACAGTACAAAATTTTTTTTAGTTAACCTTGCATTTGGGGTGGGGGGGGGGGGGGGGGGGGAACTTTATAATTTTTGGTGGGGGGGGGGGGGGGGGGTGTTTAGGGTTTAGCCCATTCACTGGCTACCTGTACGTACTTTGATTAGAAAATTAAAACTTTTTGTAAAAATAAACCAATGGCATAGTTGAATAGAGCTAAATTTTTAAAGAATTATAACACCAAAATCATATTTTTAGCTGTTGTAGTTTTAAAGTTATGAATTTTTAAAGTTCGACTTAATTTGTCCTTTTGAAACATGGACCGCATCTCCACATTCTGTGACCCAATTCTGCTGTTCGCGTCACGAGCTCTTGTTTTAATGATAATTTTATTTTCAGAACTAATGCTGTATTTAAAATAATTTTAATATTGTTAACAATTATAAATAAATTGTAGCTTATCTAACTATGCACCATTTATATCAGTAAATTTAATATAATATATTAAAATATATGGCTTTTCTGTTTACCAAATCTACGACGTCCATTATACCGATATATGCTATATTGCCTATTTAGTCTATATAAGGCAACTCATGCCCTAATTACTAAAATACTGTTTGGGAACTATTGAACGTTCAACTTTGGTACATGACTAATTAATTAAAGCTTTCCCTGACCTAGTTTAATAGTTTTTTCACACAGCAAACTTTTATGAATGAAAACTCTGAGATAGTAGTAAATAATGGCCATTAAGCAAGTCACCGTGAATGGCCGCCATGACATTTTGCACACAGCAAATTATGATAATTTATAATATGGACTCTGCCGGTTTTTTCAACCTCAAATTAACAGTATTCTTTCAATAACATTTAAGTTCATTCTAAAACATAAGTTATCAAATATTTTGATGTAAATAGTGGAAATAATTGAATATTTCCTAAGTAACAGCGTCTTCTGTCAATGAAGTGGGGCATGGCCACTTTCTTATTGAAAATTGGGCTGTGCTAAATTACCATATAGGGGTTTACTCAAATGAGCATAACAAGTGGCCGACATGCCCTAACTAAATGAGAATCGACACAAATACACATCGATAGATAATACAGAATAGGACTTTTTTTTAAAGACATAAAAGTTGAGCTATACAAATTTTATAGTGAAAGATGCCTTATATTTAAAGGGGAATCTCAAAAAACAAGTCGATTGAAAAATTAAAACAAATCAATGTAAATGTAGGCCAAGATGTCTATCTAATGATAAGGCCATAGCCATAAGGCCGGAAACAGAACTCAAATATATGTCAAAAGTACTCATTTAATAGACACACACATCGGAAAATTAAAAACTCAGATTTTTCTGCGCCGATTTCTATTTCTGATACACAAAAAGTAGTAGTCTCCCTTGTTTCATCTAAGTATCTACCTACTGCTCCTAAGTACAACTACTTCTAGTTCTAATAGTTTAATAGTACTAATCTAAGTCTCGGGTCTGTTGGCCTACATAAGTCATAATAATTAGGCCTATTTTAAAAATTTTAGGACACAACATGTCACCAATCATCTCATCTGGCTTCTCATGATGAGTATGTCATGCCATTGAGGCCCACCCCATTGTCACGACATATCATTATCATGACTGACATATGCCATATAAAGTAACTAACTTACCCTCATCTCCTTGGTCCACTTGTTCAGCCCAACTTTTCCCGCTAGTCCTACGGGAAGAGATAATATGAAAAGGTTCAATAAAATAACTTATAAAGGACAAAATAAAGTTAATGTTATCGTGTGTATGATATATAACTTACATCGTGCAGTCTTCTTAACACAAGATAATGCGGCTAACCATTTCCGGTGATAGTTGTTTTTAAAAAAAGTGTATCGTTAGCAATGCCCGATTGGCGTACTTTTAGACAGCGATAATATGACGCGTAACTACTAATTTTCACATATTTTCAACATAGCCTACTTACTACATGATCGAGTGGTAGCGTTTAAAAAAAAAATTAATAATTTAAACTGTTAGTAATTTTTAACAATGCTTTTAAAAAGAAATGCTATTCTCTTATGAGTATAATGGCCTTCATTTTTTCCTCCAAATAACAACTAACAACTTAAATTTTTTACTAAGCATTTTTAAATGTAATACTGCAAAATAATGTAAATTTAAAGGCCCGAACAAGTGGGCGTTCATTAAATACGTCAAAAATAGGGGGGGGGAGGTTGGAAATGTTTGACAGTTGTTGACAATGGCAAGGGGGTGGCAAGGGGGTTTAGATTAGTTGACGTCAACAATCCTGTTTTCTCTATTAAAATTTTAATCATAAAAATTAGCTGGTTAAACTAACAACTTAAATTTTTTACTAAGCATTTTTAAATGTAATACTGCAAAATAATGTAAATTTAAAGGCCCGAACAAGTGGGCGTTCATTAAATACGTCAAAAATAGGGGGGGGGGGAGGTTGGAAATGTTTGACAGTTGTTGACAAGGGCAAGGGGGTGGCAAGGGGGTTTAGATTAGTTGACGTCAACAATCCTGTTTTCTCTATTAAAATTTTAATCATAAAAATTGACTGGTTATAACATTATTTTTAAGAAATTATAAGTGTAAATGAGTATAAATAGTAATATAATTTGTAGACTTTTAACAATATATTAATGTGTGTCTGTGCACTGCAGATGGCTGTTCAGAATGTTAGCACACTTTGTTAGTGCAAGAGAAGTCAAAAGTTGGCCTCTCTTCACCTGTAGATTCAGTTGCAGCCATGGAACAAGGAAAAGGTTAAAGTGCCATGTGCAGTCAAGATAAATGATATTGATAGAGTAGGATTACGATATTTTGAGAATTAGGTGAATGTTAAGTGAGTAACAATAATAACATCGCTGCTTGAACCGACTTGCAAAATCTGTAACATCTATTTTGCATCACAAGTCATGTTGAAAAAGCATGTTTAACAGAACCGACAATGCCCTCTTGAACATAAGAAATTAGCACCTGCTCTTCAAAAGAAAAAAAAAAAAAAGAAGGCTTCGACCAATGCGAGTATCTGCAAGGAGATAGAGAGAGCTTATGGCAATTATTGCTCACACCGAAAATGCTTCTATTTTAAGGGCTGAATGGTTAGATGAGGATAATGTTGATTTGTCTGGTATATCAGTGCCGCAAGATGAAAATTATGAATCAGCTACTATAGACTAGACCCGTCAGGGGCGTCATTTCATGTTTTTTCAGGGGGGGAGGAGGGGGCAAAACCAAAACTTGGTCGGCTTGTAGACTGGAGGCGCCACGGTACATAGAAATTTCAATAAAACCTGCAAATTAGGGGGTGGGGGCAAATGCCTCCTACCCAAATGATGTCCCTGATGCCCATTGTTACGATAGGGTAAACCTGGCTACTCCTTGGGAAGATGATAGCAGCTAGAAACTATACTACAATTATCAGCTTTACTGACAATAATCATATTTATACCAAAAGCAATGATATTTAGTCTTTAACAACATTTTAATTGATTCTGCATTGTAAAATTTAATTTGTAAAAACTTTTTAACAAGCTAAAGATGAAATGAAATGTTTTTCCTATAATTTTATTGTCATTAAATAGATTAGCACAAAGTAAAATGTATTTATAAATTTATTTATAATATAATTAGCACTTTTGGGGGTGGGGGGTTAGAAAATGTTGACATAGTTAAATAGGGGGGGGGTGATCATTGAAAGTTTCACAAATGTTGACAAGAGGGGGAAGCCGGAGTGGTTAAAAAATTGCTTAAAAATAGTTGACGTAATTAATGGAATATAATTAGCACTTTTGGGGGTGGGGGGTTAGAAAATGTTGACATAGTTAAATAGGGGGGGGGGGATCATTGAAAGTTTCACAAATGTTGACAAGAGGGGGAAGCCGGAGTGGTTAAAAAATTGCTTAAAAATTGTTGACGTAATTAATGGACGACCCCAACCTAAAAAAAAAATAATTTAAAATTAAATTCAATTTTCGGGTTAGCGTGAATTAAATTTCGCATAATATCAATATCCTTGGTATGGTATGACGCTTAAAAGATGAATTTAAAAAAAAAAAGAATTAAAAAAAAAAACAAAGATAATGATTGTGTGCTGTTTATGTCTGCATAGATATCACAGTCAATAAAAATTCGGAATGACAGTAAGATTAGAATGACCGATTTGTGGGAATAGGCTACAAAACAAGGTTCTCTTTCGTAATTGTTTTGGTAACCGATTTTTAATTTTTTTTTTATTCTTTGAGTTGAAAAGAAGATTTATAACTGTAAATAGTTAACTTGATGATCAAAATAAGGGTTTAAAAATTTATGTTTTTTAGAGACTTAAATATGATAAAAATGATTGCATCTTTTTTCAGTCACATACTTATTCTTCAATTAAATCGCAATTTACCAGTCAAATGAAATTTCAAGTAATATAATATAATGAAGAAACGCAAACATCTAGAATTATTAGATATATAAATAAAAAAAAAACAAATATCTACTAAATTAAGCAAATTTTAACGTGATTATTAATTTAAAATAAACTATTTTGAAACGGCCTATTGAAAATGTATTCGTTTATTCCGTTTATATTTATTTATTTAAATGATTTTCAGTCCATATCATAGCACTCTACCTTTTTATGTTCAATAATAAGGCTAAAACGCATAAAGATAAAAAGTGCAATAACATTTTTTTAAAGAGAACTGTAAGGTATTATGATCCCTTAAAAAAAAAGTATTTATCGTAATATGCGTCATTATTATGAACTCTTAAAAATGGGTTAGATGTTTACCACTGTGTGTCCTTCACACTGAAGTCGCTATAAAATCTGGCCAACATTGCTCAACCTAGACGCGAAACAAATTACATATTAACGAGTTGCATCAAGTTGCGTCATATTAGCGTGTATAACGGTCTTAATTTGTTGACACGACGAGTTGAGCTTAAAGGTATTCTGAAGGGTGTAAAATAAATAACTTGTCTGAATTTTTTGGTGGTGTAATTTAGATTTATGATTAAAAGATTTTGTTGTTGAGCATGCATATCATAAAGTATAAATTATAATAAAGAGTAAAAAGACAATAATGATAATTAATAATGCATAGATAATAATATAATATTATATATAATATAATATATTATAATGTCAAATATTCATAATCATTGATTTAAATTTAAGATTATTAATAATGAAATTATTACAATTATTTATAGTTTAAATTTAAACAGTAGACAGTAGATTAGTAGAACATCGATTTTCTTAACTCAGATTATATCTGAAAAGCTGATTATCGCAGTTGTCAGTTGTATTTGATTATTAAAATTTAAATTTAAATTATTATTTATTATTATTTTCATTAATTTTTAATGTGCTGTGTACCAATACCTGGGCCTGGACCTGAATACAACTCTGACTTTAACAGCTGTCATACAATACAATTTTTAATGAATATATATTGCAGAATACACGCCCAACGCCTACAAAGACAATTATAATTAGAATTTATAAGCATCAGAGTCCAGACATCTATTTTTTGCAACAACCACTTTTGCCACAGTGCCAGTCCTCAACAGTTTTTGACACCACTATCAGCTGATTCTGAAACACAGATATACATTACAATTTACTGTACAATAATATAAAAACTCTACAAGAGAATTGTGATATTGTTAATTTACCTTATTTTACATACATTTTTCTTTATTTTTACAATGAGAAAAAGGCATTCTACATCTCACCGTAAAAAGCTTTACACCCTTCTTTAGAAATTTTGTTAGTTTTTAAAAAGCATGCTTATCTCTTTTCAAGTGGATTATAATTATGATTTTTTTTTTTTTTTAAACACAGAGATTCACCCATACTAAGAAGGGGAAAAAATATACAGTATGTCAGAAGGTAAAAAAGTTGTGCTAGCCTACAGTGGAGGTCTGGATACATCTACCATTTTAGTGTGGCTCATTGAACAGGGCTATCAAGTCGTTGCTTATCTGGTAGGTGTTCGAAATTGAAACATTTATTTATGTAGTTATTGTCATTAATTCTAGTATTGCCACACCTTAGGAAATCTTGTATTATGTCATTTTCAAACTCTTACACATTAAATGGTACAACTTCAGGTCATATACTTTATTGCATAATTTATTGCATAATTGAAAACTTTGTTTTCCATAATTTGTAAGTAGTTGATAAGCTAAAAGGAAGACCATGATATTCTGTTGATACTGACTAGCTGGTAGTTGATTTCATTATTTCTGATCTAGTCATTTGATGATGTCATCAATCATAGATGTCACTGTAATTACAGACATTCAGGGTGAAATTAAGTTTTTCTCCATTGTCATATTCTTACCATACTTTCTCCTAGTTAAGCCACATGATTATCATATATATCCATTGTCTTGAAGGTTTGTTGTATGTATCCTAGTTAACCTGTTGTCTCGAGAACTTGTATTCTAGTAAATTCACAAAGTTAAAGCCTTGTTTCCTAGCATGGGCGCCCGCAGAAAACTTTCCAGTGGGGGGCAAAAAATCGATTAACTTTCCAGGGGGGGGGCAAAATTTTTTTAATAATGTTTTAATATAGTTTTAATTTACTGTAGCGTATTTGTATGGTGAACGAACGGACAGGACATCAGCTTAGTTACTTTCTCTTTATTTTCACTTTACTTTAATAAAATTTTTGTCTAAAAATTTTTTATCCTATCAATCCAGGGGGAGCAAGTGCCCCACCTTGCCACTACCTGCGGGCGCCCATGTTTCCTAGTTAATCCACCATCCTGAAGACACCCTTTATCCTAATAATCATAACCCACTGTGTTGAAAAATAATATCCTTAATCCACTGTCTTGAAGATTTGTATCAGAGTTAATCTCCTGCATTGTAGACAAATTGTATTGTTTATTAACTGTCTTAAATGCATGTAGTATCATAGTGAATTCACCATCTTAAAGACATAATGCCTTCTAGTTACGATTTCCAGGTTAATTCACTAAAATCTTAAGATATAATTAATACTATTATTTATCTGATGTGGGCATCACCATACAAAAGTTATTGGACATAAAGAACCTCTTTGAGTGCATTTGTTCAAAAAATAGAAAATGAATCCCTAGATATATATATCTATTACTATCCACTTGTTTTCTTCAGGCCAACATCGGCCAAGATGAAGACTTTGATGCTGTCAGAGAGAAAGCTCTAAAGTTTGGGGCTCTCAAGGTAAGGATACTTTGTTTTGCTGCCATTTGCTAACCCTAACAAGGAATGTTTGCTTTTGAAAAAATATGTGTGCTTAACTTAATTAATTTTCAATGTATTTTATAGTTTTGTTATATTTTCACATTATGTGCATGTCATTGTCAGTTCTTAATCACTTCATATTCTTATCATATTCACTTTATGTTCACCTTAAATTCATATCATATGCATGTAATTGTCAGTTCTTATTTGCGTCATATTCACGGATTTCTTTAAGGTGTTACATTTACTTTATTTTTTAAATATACTTCCATAGTTAAGTGATCTCAATAGGTGGCTTTGAGTGAAGTTACTTAGTAAAGTAGACCCAGGTTCAGTATAGGTCCCATGCTAGTCTGTCTTATGTCCGATGCTCCTCTCTCTTATTACCCATGCTCCTATGTCTTATGTCCCACACCGCTCCGTCTTATGTCCCATGCTAGTCTTTCTTATGACCCATGCTCCTCTGTCTTTATCTCATGCTCATCTGTCTTATGTCCCAAGCTCATCTGTCCTGTGTCCCATGCTTGACTGTGTTATGTCGGATTGTCCAATGCTCTTTGTTAATGATTTGTTCAATGAGTGCGTGTTTTGGTTTGTGTTATGTATACTTGATTTGTTAGTGAGCAGTGAAGATTTATTGTTTAGTTTTTGCTTTGTGGTTTGTATTGTTGATGTTTTTGGGAATGAGAGATGGCCATGTTCTTTGTTATTGTTTGTTGGTTATTATGAAGAGAGCGAGAGAGGGCATATTGGGAGCAGTGGTGAATAAAGAATTAAATGAAATAATTAATCTTGGTGTTGTTGCTATTTGTGTGATGAGAGTTACCCCTAGACCAGGCCTGCACAACATACGGCCCGCCAGCAACAACTTGGCTGCCCGCAAAGTAATGAAACATTATTTATTATTATTATTTTCTTAAAAGCTTTCCCCCGTCCGATTTTCTGTCGACCTGCAAAAGTTTTTCATCCTGAATTATGGCCCACCTTACATTTTGAGTTGTGCAGGCCTGCCCTCGACAAAACGAAGCCTTTGTACTTCTAATGCAAGTAGTAGTTTGTACCACTCTGCAGTCCCAAGGTCTTTTTTCCAATGATCTTCTGCCTTAATGATTTTCTATCCCAATGTCTTTGGTTCCCAAAGATATTCTACCTTAATGATCTTCTGAACAATTATCTTCTGTCCCAATGTCTTTGGTCCCAATAATCTTCTATCTCAATGATCTTCTGCCCCAGTGATATTCTCCCTAAATGATATTCTGTCTTAATGATCTTCTGTCACAATATACTTATCTGATGATATCTTATATCCATTGATCTTCTATCCCATGTCTTCTGTCACAATGATCTTCTGTCTCAATGATACTTTACCTTAATGATCTTTTATCCCAATGATATTCTACTTTAATGATCTTCTGTCCCAATGTCTTCTGCCCCAATGCCTTATGTCCAAATTATGTTCTACCTTAATGATCTTCTGTCCTAATGCTCGTCTATCCCAATAATATTCTACCTTAATGCTCTTCTGTCTAAATGATCTTCTGTCTTAATGATCCTCTGTCTAAATGATCTTCTGTCTTAATGATCTTCTGTCACAATGATCATATATCTGATGATCTTATATCCACTGATCTTCTATCCAATATGTTCTGTCTCAATTATCTCCTGTTCCAATGATCTTCTGTCTCAAGGTCTTCTGTCCCGTATATTCTGACCTATATCCCATTTCTTGAAAAATAAATGTTGCAATGATGGTATCTGATCAGAGACTAATAATACAAGTAAATTGACTGCAAAAACGTGTAACAAACTTGAACTAATAACAATACAAACTAACTGTGCTGATAAGGATACTTGTAAAAAAAATGGACTTTGAGGCTATCACCTGACTTCACCCTCATTATCACTATAATCTATGAATGAGTTTCCCATGTTTAAGTGGCAGTAACAAATTCATGTATGTATCTGCAATGAGCTGTGTAATCAATTGCTGTTTGTGTGTCGTGACCTCGGCTTGAGTGCTATTAATAGCGCTGTCAGTTTTTTCTGGGGTCAATAGATCCTGTGTTGTCGTGGCTCTGTTGTTGGCGAAAATAGATTGTGTTTAAGGTGGATTCTGTTGATGGCACATCGCTGATTAACTGGTTGATGGTCAAAGGCTCAGTAAATGCCTGGTTGATTTCCTATGACTCTGTTGGTGACTCAGGCTCATCCATCCATCCCTTTGGTCCTACAGCCCATGTATGTGTTTGGCCTGCCTCACACTTCCTTCCACTCATACCTAAATAAAGCTTTTCTTTTCCATGCTTGGATTCTCAGCTGCTGCAGATCCTTTTCCACATCATCCAGCCATCTAAGCCTAGGTCTGCCTTTGAGCCGTTTTGCTCTGGGGTTTTGGTGGTGCACCCTCTTCACTCATCTGTTATGTGGCATTCTTTCTAAGAGTCCTGCCTGGCGTAGCCTGCCCTTTTTTTTTTATTTCTGCTACCAGAGAGGGATCCTGATATAGACTATACAATTCTTGGCTGTTTCGTATTCTCCATCCATATTCATCCTTTGTTGGTCCGCACATTTTACTGATAACTTTTCTCTCCCATGTGTTTAATAGATTTTCTGCCATTTTTGTTAGGGTCCAAGCTTCACTTGTGTGACTTACAGCTCACACGATCTATTATCGCTGAGTTAATGACACATTTTATGAAATATTTACTTTGTCCAGTGAACCATGAAAACATGTAATCTGTTGTGCACCTCAAGGTCCGTAAACCAGCCTTGAAGCATTATGTCACACATCAACTAAAGTTCAACCTTTTTTACATACATAAAGCTGAAAGAAAAATAATCATTGGTCTCCGCAGCCATACATTCCTGCATGTCATAGCCATATATTCCTGCAGGTCGTAAAAAACTATATATTTGACAATTCATTTTTATTGCTCAAATTCATCAAATGAAAACTAACATCCTGCACTATTGATTGATTGAAAGGAATCACTGTAAACAGTGTAACATCCTACACTATTGATTAAAAGGAATCACTGTAAACAGTGTAACATCCTACACTATTGATTGATTCAATGGGTGGCCGCCCAAATCCTTGTCAATGATTAAAAAGACGCGGCCCTGAGAAAGCCGCCCCTAGGCGACAGTTTTGTCCCCGCTACTCCCGACCGGACAGCTCCCTGGGCGGTGGGGAGTGGTAACGCAACACCACCTCTCCGGAGAGGAAGTAAAGCCGTCCTGACCCATAGGAGAGTGGACTACAGACGCTTTAAACGCAGCACCCTCGGTCCGCCGGACGTCCCTCAGGCCAGGAGGGAAGTTCCTGGCGCGCTTCCGCACGGTCTGGGGCTTCGGCCCTGGCCCGTTTGGGGGAGTGCCGGAGGTGGGGGGGGGGTATTATGATTGCAAACTCGACGACCCACCAACACCATCTCCAAAGTGATGTTACTGGTAAGCCAAAGTATTGAACAGTTAACTGGTATGCCAAAGTCTAGCTAGTTCACATACTTGTATGAGGCAGACGTTTAAAAAAAATTCTATTATTTGAATCTGATTGATAGTCATTTATCTGACGGAATAGTATGAAACGTTTCACAAGCAGACATAATGATATTTGGAAACATGCATGTCTAAAAGTAGGGTCCGCACGATAAGATATTTTCAGGGGTGGGGTGGGGTGAGGGTGTGTGACCGGAGTATCGGATCAGTTTGATGCCCTGTGAGCCCCTGTCGTGCTGCCCTGTGATATGTCCTGGAAATCATCATATTTCATGACCTGTAACTTGAAACTGACCACTAGCCTATATCTCTGCTTGTTACAGAGTAAGCTGGTTGAATTCTGTCATGGACCTACTTAACAATTCCTCTTTCAGATGGTCATCCTTGACCTCCGTAAAGAGTTTGTGGAGGAGTTTATTTGGCCAGCTGTTCAAGCCAACGCCACTTATGAGGACAGGTATCTACTTGGAACCTCCCTGGCCAGGCCCCTCATTGCCAGGTAGGTAGGTAGCAGGGGTTGGGCCATCTGAACTCTTCCCTTGTTACGTTGAAGTTTGTTGTCACTGAGCTGGCGGCTGCTAGCGCTATCATTTAAAATAAAGCCCACCTGGCACGGTAGTTTTCACTGACATGTTTAGTCCCATGGTGTTTTGAGTTTTTAAATGAATAAATGTAGTGGCTATGAAACTGAAAGAATAAACATGAAGTTCTTTCCTGATCAGTGTCAGATAAGACCGGGGGGATGTTTATATGAGAATTTTGGGATACAGTCAGCTGTGGGCTGTCAATCAAACAACAACTGGGTTTGGTTCTTGATGATTACACACACAAAAAAACCATCAATGAATACATGATGTGCTGTATTGTTTTTATTATTTTCACCTTTTTATTATATTCACATTTTCGACAATGGTTCAGTATTAAAGACAAAATTTAAAAATTATTTCACCTGAGCCGGACGGTACCCACTCCAGCACATTGCTGGGCACAGCTCTAACAAGGTCCTGATAATTTTTTAAGATTTAATGGTAATATTGCAGTATAATACTAAAACTATAATGTTGATATCCTGATGTGGACATAATGTCCTTACGCTAAATCAATGGCATGATTTTAAATTGATCTCTTGGTGTTAAATTTATGTCTTGATGCTGACAAGATGTACATATTTTAAATTAAATGTCCTGATTTGAAATGATGTCTTAGTGTTAATTTGATGTTAACATGGTGCATTGATGATGACATGATGTATTGAATTCACCTACAACACCAGTCTAAACATTTATTCCAATACGTTTAATTCACATACAACATTAATTTCCTTTCCACTTTTCTTTACTTTGTTTCTGCCTGTTTTTTTGTCCTTATGTTAACTTGATGTCCTGGTGTTTGCATGATATCCTAATGTTAAATTGGTGTCCTGATGTTTGCATGATATCCTAATGTTAAATATGTGTCCTGATGTTTGCATGATATCCTAATGTTAAATTGGTGTCCTGATGTTTGCATGATATCCTAATGTTAAATTGGTGTCCTGATGTTTGCATGATATCCTAATGTTAAATTGGTGTCCTGATGTTTGCATGATGTCCTAATGTTAAGTTGATGGCATGATGTCCTAATGTTAAGTTGATGGCATGATGTACTAATGATACCATTATGTCCTGACATTATAAATGCATCTTTCTATTCCACGTTACTTAAGTGTGTAATGTTTAATTTCCAACAAACGCTTGTGTGTTTATCCATAGGGCAATGATCAAAGTTGCTGTAGATGAAGGAGCCAACTATGTCGCACATGGAGCCACAGGGAAAGGCAATGACCAGATACGATTTGAACTCGGAGCCTACGCACTTCACCCAACTATTGAGGTGGGTATGACTATGAAACACGATCGGTCACAACACACCGGCCCAACGACATGTTTACTTCAAGCTATTACAGAAATGATAATGACTTACTTATTTTAAAATCTTTTATCTAAAAACCTGGCATAGATGATGCTCAACTTTTAATTGTTTATATTTAGAGCCATGGAATTCATAGCAATAAATGTCAAAGTTGATATGGTTATCAAGGAGTAAAATTTAAATTAGAAACTGTCTTAATAAAAAAAAAATCAAAAGATAAACATAACAAAGTTTGGTGGGTATAAATTTATTCACTTTGGGTGGTATTTTGATGTGAAAAATGTATTCATTTTATTGCTGAGAAATTTCAAAATAAATTCTTAAATTATTTAAATGGCATAGTTGTTGTTTTTTATTTTTCTTCATGTGTGGGAGGAATTCTTTTGACATACTTAAGCTGTGGATGGCCTATATATTTTAGTGACATTTGATTCATGACTCTCATAAGGTGGCCATAACTAACTCTATCAAACCGTAATCTGCCCTGTGATATGTTTTGTTTGTAAACATAACCTTAATCTTAATGATTTCCAGGATTTTAAGATTGCCCCCATTGTATGAAAATTCGAAAATATAACATCCATTTTTCCTGAAGGTTATCTCACCCTGGAGACTGCCAGAGTTCTACAAGCGATTTAAAGGGCGCACTGACCTCTTCAAGTATGCTGAGGTAAGCATAATTTTGCAACGGTTCCAGTACCTTTAATTGATATGATCAACTATAACATTTTGTTGACATGGGCTTGGTGTTTGTACAAACCTACCTTACACACAATCTTCAAATCTAACATTGGGCTCACAGTTTCTTCTATGTGGCAATTTACTACATTAAATGGACTGACCCATTCTAAAATTAGTCAAGTGTAAAAATCTTTCCATCTCACACTCATATGAATGTGACTATTCATTTTAAAATTTATTTTGATTTTCTTTTTTTTCTCTGAAATGCTCATACCATGTGATCTGGTCTTAGTTTAAAGAAAAGCTTGTTCATGAAATATAAAGTTTTTCTTTCCATGTATTTGTTACTTTGCACATTGTACATGGATTTTTACTTGTTACTCAGTACTCTTCCTTGTTACTTGGCACTTGATACTTAATACTGTTAACATTGTGCTGGCATTCCGCAAACCATTGCATTGTGAACTTGCCGAAGATAAGAAGAGAGTGTTTGTTCCATTATATTCCAGGAACACGGCATACCCCTACCGGTGACACTGAAAAGTCCCTGGAGCATGGACGCCAACATTATGCATATTAGGTGAGAAAATTAAATTTTTAAAATTCAGATCTTCCTTTGTGTCATTTTCTTGTTCTATCACTTTGACTTCCTTATAGCTTTGATTTTTCTATCACTTTGACTTCTATATAGCTTTGATTTTTCTATCACTTTGACTTCTATATAGCTTTGATTTTTCTATCACTTTGAATTTTATATCACTTTGGCATTTATATCACTAAATAATTTCAAATTGTGTTTGATGGATTATTGTCAGGCAAAAATATATTCAAATCAAGCTATTAACAATTCAAAGGATTTAAAATGTACCTGGTGGCTTTCAATCTTGACAAAATGTGCTTAACATGAAAGTAGATTCTACAAACACATTGGCAATTTGTCCATTCCAACAACACATTGACAGAGTTTGTCCATTCCAACAACACATTGACAGAGTTTGTCCATTCCAACAACACATTGACAGAGTTTGTCCACTCTAACAACACATGTGACAGATTTTCCATTCTTACAACACATGTGACAGATTGTCCATTCTAACAACACATTGATAAAGTTTGTACATTCCCAGAACATCATGTATTCTGTATTTTTTTTATCAAACATGAAAAATGGACTCATTTATCCAGGATCACAGTATAGAACTTACATGGTTCCATCCAGAAAAATCTTCTTTTTTTGTGCGTCTCATTTCTACCTGTTGAAAGTTTTTTGAGGAGTCTATTATGACTGTATCCATGTGAGTTTAACAGAGGACGAGTTTTCATTGTATTTACTATTGGTCTATTTCCATATTCATGATGGCAGCTATGAGTCTGGTGTTCTGGAGGACCCCAATCATCAGGCCCCTGAGGGACTCTATCAGATGACCACCGACCCAGAGAAAGCACCAGACAAGCCGGACATAATTGAAATTGAGTTTAAACAAGGTTTGAAGAAAAATATTTTTTAAATAACTTTTACATGAAGTTTCACATCACAAATTGGCCCTAGAGTTGTCAGAAGTTATGTAATTGAGGATTTCTGCTCATCTGCAATATTTTCTCCTTTTATTAAAGATCCATCCAATCAGCTTCTGTTAAGTAGTCAATATTTTAAAATTCATAATAAATTGTTTCTATATCTCAACACCAGCCTAAACATTTATTCCAATACTTTCAACTCACCTACAACAACACCAGTCTAAACATTTATTCCAATACGTTCAATTCACATACAACATTAATTTCCTTTCCACTTTTCTTTACTTTGTTTCTGCCTGTTTTTTTTGCCCACTCCTATTTTTTCTCCTTTTTTTTAGGTAGGATCTGTATATATATATTATGTAAATTTAATTTATTTGTCTTTTTGTTGTACTGATGAAGGCATGTGCCGAAATGTATACGTGTGTATTCTGTAAAATTATTATTAAAGCTTACCTTATATTGTTATATTGACACAAATTGTTGGTGTCTATTTAATCGATTTTAAAGCTTTATTGCAGTCCAACACTTTTTACAACATTAATTAAATTTTATGGAGTGGTTTTAAAAAAAAGTTTAATTTTTTTTTTTTTTTAAATGCACCAAAAAGTCCATAGCATTCTGCCTCATGATGCAATAAGCATTTATGACTTTGAGGATATGCTCTAGATTTATCCACATAATTAATTTCTAAAATACCCATATCAGAAACTCTTTATAAGATAAGATTCTTTTATTGATACAAATAATTGGAAAGGTTTTTTTTTTTATTACATTGTACATATTGATTTTCAGCACATAAATAATTACATATTTTAACCAAAGAACATTTTACAATTAGAACAATTTAAACACAAGAAATGTATAGTATTTCCCTAGACTAAAAATCAGCCATCATATACCCCAAAAAAATGTATACATTTTTGGAGGAATGGGATAGAAAGCCGAAAATCGCTTGACCTAGATATTCACAGTGCCAGGTTGAAGGTTCCAAAGCATTAACCATTGGCAAGGCTGTTTAGGATTGTTTTTTGTTTTCAAGTCTGACAAAGAAATAAGACATACAAATTTAGTTGTCTAGAGAAATGGTTTGTTCTTTTGGATGTGTTTCTCAATTGACATCTGAGAACAATTGTCTGTGAGTTATTCAAAGCATTGTTCAACTTCTCAGCACAGCTAATCAATTCTCTGGTCTAATTACTGTGAAGTAGTCATTGTTAAGAAGAAAAACCCATATTGTTGCCTGTAGATTTCATAGTTTCCAAACATCACTCTGCCTCACTGAAAGTTGTACTTAAAACATAACTTAATATCTAAGAAAATGTCAGTCTAATCTCTGCCTTGTCCAGTGGTTTTCAACATTTTTCTAGACATACCCACTAGTGCTTTATACCCACTAGTGCTTTATACCCACTAGTGCCTTATACCCACTAGTGCCTTATACCCACTAGTGCTTTATACCCACTAGTGCTTTAGCTGTTTTTAGTAGCCCTTCATACCATAGCAGACATTTTTTGATGGGGGAAAATAAAATATTCACTAATGAATTTTGATTTGCTTTTCAAAATATGACTTAACTGAACATTTATCCATCTGATCATAATATTAATTTATTTGGGAATATGAAATGACAAACATGCTATAAGCCCAGAAAAAGTCCGATCGCTTCTCTGCCTTTCGGCTATGATCGAGGTGTAGTGCCTGTTCTTATCCTGACAAGTTACCAAACCCATGGGAGGAAAGTGATATTTCTCCTTTTATCTGGCCAGGGCAGGGGATTTCGGTAGAACAAATTAGAGAGCCGCAAGGCCTAGAGACCCGCAAGGGCAGACTTGAAGAGGGACCACCCCATTATTGCAGTGCTTGGGGGGGGGGGGGGGGGGGGGGCACCATTCATTAAAAAAAAAATGATATTAATAGACAAGACAAACCACTTCTCTCCCCAGGTGTGCCTGTGAGAGTGACGAATACAGCTGAGACCATAACAAAAACTCAGCCCTTAGAGATCTTCCTCTACCTTAATCTAGTTGGGTAAGAACAAGTCACTTCCCTTGACTTAACCTTTATTTATCTTTTTTTTTTCCCACTAGCGTCCTTCAAGACACTAAAAAGTTGTTTCCTGTAGTAAAAATCTAAACTAGACTCTCCTCATTGTTATTGGTTTGTCTGTCCATTATGAAACTTGGACATTGTACTGGGTGGATGTCTGCTCAAGTTGTGAAAATGTTTGTTTGGGTCGTGAGAATGTTTTCGTTGTTTTTTGTTTTATTTATTTATTTATTTTTTTTGTTTGTGAGAATGTTTATTTTGGGTCATGAAATATTTGTATGGGTTGCGAGAATGTTTGTTTGGGTCATAAGAATGTTTGTATGGTTTGTGAGAATGTTTGTTTGGGTTGTATGTTTATAGTGTGTGGTGAAGAAGACTTGTCGATATGTTGGTCATGTGACATTGTGTGTAGTAATGAAATCGTGTTTGTGTGTTCCAGAGGCAAACATGGCATTGGCCGGGTTGATCTTGTGGAGAACCGTTTCATTGGCATGAAATCTCGAGGTAGGTTCAAATGCAAACCAAAATAGTAGCATAGATATTTTAATACTGCCCCACTCCAATCTGCTTCCCCATTCAGATCTACCACCACACTCTGTTCTACTGCCCCACTCTGTTCTACCGCCCCACTCTATTCTACCGCCCCACTCCGAACTACTGCCCCACTCCGAACTACTGCCCCACTCAGATCTACCGCCCCACTCAGATCTACTGCCCCACTCAGATCTACTGCCCAACTCCGCTGTGAACTTGAGAAAATGTAACAATATTCAACTTCAGATGTTATTACTGAAAGGTTTTTGTCACAATAAACATCATTTTTTATCCCAATTTCATTTCCTCTTCTTCTTCTTTATTTTGAGGGCCCACGATCAATGAATTGATCATTCTGGCTCCTATGTTTCAGAGGGGTTCGCGATGTTACTGTGCATGGGTTTCAAGGGGATACTTCACTGGTTGCAAGGGCTACTCAGCAGTGGTGTCACGAACTGGGAGTCGCAATACAGGAGGCAGTAGACACAAATGTGTCGAGTGTAGGCGCCTCAACTGTTGCTTTTGGAAGCTTGTTCCAGTCCCCTATTTCATTTATTTTTATACATAAAATTTTTCACTTATTTTTAATATTACTTTTTCCCGTTTTATAAATTTAAACAAATTATATAAATGTCTTTTTAATATGTACAGAATTATGCCCCTTCGCTTGGGCACATGAGAGAGTTATTGAAGTAGGTTAAGCATGAGTGGGTTAAGAAAGTATATTTAATTCAGAAAGATTATTCCTTTCTTACCATTTAGGGCACTAAAAGAAAGTAATATTGAATCAAATGACCAGTGAAGAATTTACATGCATCTTAAGACAACAAAACATTAAAACAGCCATAATTGTAATTATCATTTAGGTATCTATGAAACCCCAGGGGGCACTATTCTCATTGCTGCCCATACAGACATTGAAGTTTTCACCATGGACAGAGTGAGTTGCTCATAATGGGAATTAAAAAAAAAATTATTTTCATTACATTTCCTTACTAATTCTAATATTTGACAAGTGTGTTTTAGCATTGGCAGCTGAGACTGTTCTCAGGGGGGGACAACTTTCCAAAACACCTTCATAGCAGGGCTGACCATGAATAATCTCCTTGTAGTCAAAGTGTTTTAAAGCAGAGTTGGTTTATTCTTTTTTAGTTTAACTCTCTTTAGTGAGCAACACAAACATGTTTTTATTCAGTGTTTTCAATATAAGCTTTTTTTTTTTTTCCTTGTGGAAATTAAACCCCAAAATAGCTGCACTAAAATGTCTGGTGGAGTCCCAGCATGTCCCTGATAGTCCATTGACAGCCAACAACTGGTCTGTAGAAGTTGTCCACTGATTTTCTCTTTTAAGTTTCTTGGATAAAAACATACCTAAAATTATGTATGCTCACATGTACAAATAAACTAAAGTCGTTCACCTGATGCTTGTTGCAGGAGTTACGGAGGATCAAAAGAACACTGGACATTCAGTTTGGTGACCAGGTTTATAAAGGTGAGAGGAGGTGGACAAGTATTGCTTTAAGTCAGTGGTTCTCAACCTTCTTAATGCCCCGGACCCTGTAATACAGTTCCTCGTGTTGTGGCGACCCCCAGCCACAAAATTATTTTCGTTGCTGCTTCGTGACTGTAAAGCATGTGTTTCAGATGGTCTTAGGCGACCCCTGGGAAAGGGTAGTGCGACCCCCCTCCCCAGGGGTCGCGACCCACAGGTTGAGAACCGCTGCTTTAAGTGTAAAACTAGCATTGACATTACTACCTTTTACGTTTTCTTGATGGGATTGGTCAATTTTTTTTGTCTAGGGAGTCTGAAAGTGTTTTAGAATTATCTGACTTGAATGCTGTTATGTTAATGGATTATGTTGTCTCTATCAAGTGGCTTCTTGACAGCCTGTTCTGTTTGTTTATTCAGGTTTCTGGTTCAGCCCTGAGTGTGAGTTCACGAGGTCATGTATCGCCAAAAGCCAGGAGCATGTTGAAGGGGTGGTGTCTCTGAAACTCTACAAAGGAGGTGTCTACATTCTAGGCAGGAAGTCACCTTTGTCCTTATATAACGAGGAGCTGGTTAGGTGAGCGAATAGAACAATTTTTTTTTTTTTTAAATTCTGTTTAATTGAAAGCCCCAATGTGTTTAAAGTATAGAATCACTGGGCTGATGTCTAGAGCATTGAAACCAAAACTTATGTGAGATGGGGGGTATTGTATATATACTGTTATATTTAACAAAAAAACTAAAGGTGTTGGAAGAAATGTCCCCTTGCTAATGCCTGTAAACCTTCCACCCACACATTACTTACATTGTTCGAGACTATGCCTTCGTTGACTCTTATTTCTACCATTTGATTTCAGTATGAATGTCCAAGGCAACTATGAGCCGACTGATGCTGGTGGTTTTATCAAAGTCAATGCTCTCAGGTTGGTGCAGAAAAGGATTCATTTGTTACAGTTGTATGTGCTAACTATTAAATGTATCCTGTCCACTGCCCCATGTTCTTATTTTTTACAGTTGTATGTGCTAACTATTAAATGTATCCTGTCCACTGCCCCATGTTATAATTTGTTACAGTTGTATGTGCTAACTATTAAATGTATCCTGTCCACTGCCCCATGTTCTTATTTTTTACAGTTGTATGTGCTAACTATTAAATGTATCCTGTCCCATGTTCTAATACAGTCCAAGTAGATAACATATGAGAAATGTTTCTTCTGTTTGAGATGTCTGAAGGATCATGTACCTATAATCCTGCAAGAGGAGAGTTAGCTTGGTGGCGTTCTACTAACCAAATATGACTTCAGCACTATGTCTGCACGGTTTCTGTACCTTTTCACCATTGACGTTCCAGTTCTTCTGTTAAGATTTTCTATGGCCAGAAACTTAATTCCATCCATTTGGTAGGAAAATCTTTCAGTTTTTCTTCTTGTGTGTGAACGATCTTAATCAATCTGATCTATACACGAGTACATTCCAGACATTGCTATATATTGTCTAAAAAGATCTTATTGTTGTTGATGTTGTGGGTGCTCAGACTTATCACCCTCCAAATGGATGTCAACACTCCAAATGCCTGATTTGCATTCTTGATCTTTTTTTCACATTTCCTCATTCACCATCTGTTGTGACCTCTTTAAAATCGTCCAGGGGCTATTGTTCACAGTGATTGGATCCAAGGCTATTTAAGTTTTTTTTTTTTTTTTTTTTGGCATCTTTGCACTTATTTACTTCTATTTTATGTGATCAACTTTGAAATGTTCCATCAGTTGTTCATTGTAAAGAATT